GCTGCTGCTGCTGCTGCTGTTGCTGCTGGTTGAATTTTCAGACTTGTTGCTAATTGGCCGCCCGCCATGTGGCGATTTGTCAATGTGTGTGCTCGACTACGGAGTCCACGCATGCGCCACGCAATGTGGCAAGCAACTACTACACGCAACACGCTTTTCAACAGGAAAATTTGTCATGGCAACTTCATCGTTTTGGGCGGCCGTTTTGTCAGTGGCCCCAACCGACGTGGAATGCTAACAAATTTGTGAACATGCCACAGTTTACAGCTCCCCATGGTAACGACCATTTGTCTGTGTTTGTTTGAATGTGTTTGTGTTTTTGGCCCACCCATTGTTATAATTATTGGGCGCCCATGTGCAAGTGACAATTCAACTTTGACTGGCATTTGTGGAGCACAGCAACATGCGGCCGCATGCAACATGTGTTCAAAAACTTGTTGCGCTTGTCGAGCGGGAAATCAAATAACTGTTCAGCTACACCTATTGCAGCAACGGGCAGCCCAACGCAACAGGTAGTGTATCTTGGTAGTATCGGAACTAAGCATCTTTCAGTGGATTCAAACTGCATTACAGAAGTATACCTTTTTGGAACTCTGACTTACTAATTCAGTGTTAACTTGAGTTGACAAAAAATGTATGGTAAATCAGAAGTAATTTACTTGGTAAGTATGTCCTAATCATAAAACATGGTCACAGAAGTTCTTGATGCAACCTAGACGCAAGAAATTGGATTGAAAATTGATTGAACTTTCATTTATATAGTAGATATTAATGACAGATTCCAGCTAGTTAGTGATTAGATTGAGACAATTTTGAGCATTAACTCTCACTTTCCATCTCTATCTCTATCTATCTCCCTCAGTTAACTCTTTATATAATTAATATTTGCACAATTGTTTTATTATATTTAGTTAGTGTCAAGATGTATCTACCTACAAAGTTTTCATTTCCTATAAACACAAAAGGAAAACTAATCATTTTATAATTTAAAATCTCTCTCTCTCTATCTCTCCCTCTCTCTCTCTCTCTCTCTCTCTCTGTCTTTCTCTTCATGTCATACTGCCCTACTGCATACATCGATTGTGCAGCTTACCCACCTTCCCCGCATTTGATTCGATGTTGACTTCTCGGTTGCTTTTGCACTAATTCGTTTTCACACTTTTCATGCTTGAGACAGTCTGAAATGACCGCAGGGGCTTTTGGTTTATGCCAGCGCCTAATTTCGTAGACCGATCTAATATCGGGGCCTGGCTGTCTCCGCCCCTTTGTACCCTGGAGCAGCAGTTATTGTATGCCAGCACCACTAATATTTATATTTGCCCTGCATTTCTTCTGGTCGATGCAAGCGATTTGATAAGCAAATGGAAATGCAGTTCTCCAACTGGCGCGGGGCAGCCAAAACGACAGACGTCTGCGGCGGCGAAAGGTGCGAATAAATAATTTTCAGTAGCAACAGCAACGGCGGCCACCAAGCGACGATAGCTGGAGCTGGAGCTGGTGGTGGTGGTGGTGCTGGTGCTGGTGGTGCTGGGACTAGAGCTAGACTCGTAGCTGGAGCCAGACAAATATTTTATTGCAAATTTGCTGATATTGGACGACAGACGGCCAAGTTGCAGCAGTTGGCCGGCTGTTTTGCATATTAAATTTATTTTATTGAATAAAGCCAAAGATATGGCCAAGATAAACGAGTATGGATTTAAAAGTATTTGAAAATTGTAAAAATTAGTAACAAGAAATCTGAACATATTTTAAAAAACTTAAGTGATAATAAAAGTAACAAATTTCAAGATTACAATTTAAAAATGATATAGATAAAATATCAGTTGGAAGTGTGTTAAAGGAACTGAGGAAACCTAAAAACTTAACCCAATCAGAGAAAAAGCGTAAAAAATTTGTAACATACTTAATAATTTACAGAAACTAATACATTAAAAATTAAAGTAAAGTTAATAAATTCCAATTTATTGACCACTATTCTTGAGTTAACAATTTTGAGCACATAAAATCGAAAATATTGTAATTAAAAATCAAACTTTCAGCTTTTTTTTATTGCTTTTAAATGTAATAAAATGTTAAACTCTAATCAAAAGTTTTTCAACACAAACTAATGCACCTTATGAGCAGCCCTCTTGTTCATTTAGATAACTGGCCTGTAATACTGCCCCATACTACTACTACTACTCGCTCACACCCCCATCCCGCCCTCTCTCTCTATCTCTCTCTCTCTGTCTCTTTCAATCTTAGACCGTCTGACCCGCTCTCTCAGATTCTTTCTTCAATGCCCTCGCCGTCACCACTCTCTTGAAGCCCGACCACGTAATTGGTATGACGCCATGCTAGGAGCCCAGCGGGCGATGAATTATTAATTGCCGTTGATTTGCATTGAGATTTTGTTGGTCCGGGTTGGTTCATTATTGGAGCACTGTTTTCAGCCAAAAAACGTTGCACCCCACAAAATTGCTAGCCCAAGTGTAAACATAATAATCAACGTGCATTATATGTCGATATATGTATATATGGCGATCAGCAAATGTGCTTTTGCAAAATGGCCGCCGGACAACGCGGCCTCCAATTGACACCTGAGCGTCCGTTGCTGTTGCTGTTGTTGTTGTTGTTGCTGTTGTTGTTGCTGTTGTTGTTGTTGTTATTGTTGTTGTCTGCTGCTGGTGCAGCTGTAATTGTTATTTATGCACTTGCATTTAACTGTAATGGCATGTGGCCTACCATGCCCCAGAGCTGGTGGGCGTAACTGGAGCGTTTTGGTAGCCTGGACGATTACATAAGAGTTTAGCACTCATAATTGTCCAGTCGAGTCGAGTAGAGGCTGCTTCTGTTGTTTTATGTATGCCTGTGCCACATTCCGCATTAATACACATTACCTGCAAATGCAAACGCCCTCTTTTACAAAAAGGGGCGTGGCACTCTGTGTTATCCAAACAGAATGACCAACCCAAAAATACAAATCGGGGTAGAAGAGTTTTTCAAGGGCTTATGAAGATTAAATACCCTTGTCGTTATTTCAATGGATTGTTGCCATGCTTAAAGCTTGATCAAGTTATCTTTAAGTACAAAAAAGGTTTGTCGTGTAAGAAATAAAAACAGCGAAATCATTTAAATTTATCGAACAAATTGTTAATGCAGCTATAAAATGTAAATAGTTTAAGCAAAACATTTCTATATCGGAGAGAAAGTCCTTTACACATTGAGAGTTTCATAAAAAGCAAAAATAATTCTTGTTAATATCTAAATAAAGTTCAATGCAAATGCTTTAAAGGTGGAATTTTGTACACAATCCGTGACAAAATAAAAATACCTTCTGCAAGGGTGCAACCAAAAGGAAAAGAAAACTGGCACCACCCCCAACTACATCTTCAACGTCGCCGCCAACAAATAGGAAAGCACACGCGCTTAAGTTCAACTTGAACTAAAGTTGATGATGAGGATGTGGATGACGATGACGATGGCGACGGTTGACTACTGTGCTGAAGACTGATCCCTGGAATTCGACTTGGCCAACAGGCAGCAGGCAAAAAGGCGAACGGCTTTTGTGCTGCTCGCAACCACTTAACTCGCTTAAGCGCTGTTTGCTTGTCAAAATTGCAGCAGCAGCAACAGCAACAGCAACAGCAGCAACAGCAACAACAGCAACAGCAGTAACAGCCGCAGTCGCCACCGCAAATAGCAACAACAATAATAATAACAACAGCAGCAAAAGCAACAGCAACAGCAACGGCATCAGCATGCAAAAGCCAACAGACGACGTGTCTTGGCAAGATGACGCAGTCAGAATGACTCCTCAGCTGTGGTTAAATGAATTAACCCTTTTACTTTGCACACAGCCAGCGGATAAACAGTGGCTGGCAGCAACAACAACAACAACAACAGCAATAATAAGAAAAACAACAACAACAACCACAACAGCGTCAACGGATTTTGTTATATTCCTGCAACTACTGTCGGCACACAGTTGTTGTTCTTGTTGTTGCTGCTGCTGCTGCTGCTGCTGCTTTGAGTGTGGGTTCTGCGTTTTTGGTCATCAACATACACCATCAACAAAATGTTGAGAAAGTTATTTGCCCAATTGGATCAGAAGCTTTAAAAAATACGTCGAATACCAAAAGCAAAATATTACTCAAGGCTGCCTATCTCTCTTAGCCATATCTTGATGTGTAATTTATTTATTAAATTGTGAAAAACTTAACTTGCTCTTAGCCAATTTTCTGGTACAAATCAGTTATATACACAATGTGAAGAACAGTTCCCAGCAGCTAAACCAAATTGTCGATATTTTTATTACTGGGAGGCTATTGTGGCCCCTTCTGAGACAATAGCTATTCCATTAAGCCTGATGGTTGCACAAATTTAAGAATCTTTGTCGGGTTCTATGATATTGCAGCTTCTTCTGAGAATTTACCAATAACATATATCGAAAACAAGCAACTTGAAAGCTGTGACACTCCGCCAAAACTTCAACTGCATAATGAAAACAATCTTAAGAAAGAGAAATGAACCGACTTCAAATCGATTACAGTTGTTAAGCAGTTCTAACATTTTCGCCCGACCTCTTGGTGTATGTTTAAATACAAATGCTTACCGCTTGCCACTCGAGATGGCGAGGCAAAGGAGAATTGCGCGTAAATTCGTTGCGGTCTTGGTCTTGGCGCGTCATCAACATAATCGCCGTCAACAGGCCGTCAACAACATCAAACTGCCAGCAAAATGTTGCTACTGTTTCCAGCGGCACAGACAGAAGCAACAAACAGTCCGACGAAGACCAACACCAGCAACAAGAACCACAACATTGGCAACGGTGCAAATGTGAAGAGGTTTTTTTTTTTTTCTTATGATGAGCGAAGCACTTTTAACTGCCTCAGCAATCCGGGAGGCACAACAAAAGCGTGTCAAACATTCTGTACAAAAAAAAAAAACAAAAAACAAATCTGTCGGATGTGAGACGAGAAAAAAAAAGCAAATGCCGACATATATATATACATATATTTATATATTCATATAGTAAAGTCGGGCAATAATGCGACCAGTTCTGTTCCAATTTTACATCATGGAAACCATTTTAAACATCGTTGTGATGTACACGCACGTAAAAGGATTTCTAGTGAAACCTTTGGATTTTCTGCCAGTTTTGACACAGGTGAATCACTATTTCTATTTCGTATCCTACTACACCTTCACGGTGCTGACCATATTCGCAAGCATCAACATCTGCACAGGCAACACGTTTTCCAAATACGAGGAAATCGGCCGATCAATTTCCGGATTCTTAGTGTATATTATTGCATCGCTGTTGACGCTGCAGAATGCGGAGAATGATTTCCATTTAATGTACATAATGGGTGCCGGAAATTTGGGTGTGGAGAAGGCAGTGCATCCCTTTTTCCGGTATATGCGTTATCAGGCGCTAGGATCTCTCACCTGCGGCGTTGTTTATTTGATGCACGGCATCATGGTCATTGATGTAACGCTGTCCCAGGACGAGGAACCGAATGCCGATGATAATGATGAGGCCAGCGATAACCGAGATGATTATGACTTTGTACCCGTTCGTCTATATGTGTTAGGCGGACTTGTGCAATCCAAGTTGGAACAGCATGATTGGTTCAATGAATTTTCCAAAGGCAAATTGCTAACCATTTAAATGCTTTTCACTTAACGCTCCTCTGTGTAACTTTGTATAGTAAATTTTTGACCGTATGACGTCAGTGACGTAGATAGGACGGGGGAGCGCAACAGTTTTTATCAGTGGAGTGGAGTGGAGTGGAGTGAGGGGTGCTGCCATGCAAAAAGCCAGATTGTGACGACAATGTGGCACATACATAGATAAACAGCTGGATGGCATGAAGGGCGCATGTGCCGGCAAGTCGAGTGCAGAAAATCAGAAAATCAATAAATTATGGGCTAAGGCCAGTCAAGAGCAAGGCGAAACTTTGTTGGCCCTGCCTGGCATCGCACACAAAAAAACTTTTCCATGCAAGTTTCGCCTGGACGGGGTGGGTTGGGAGAGAGCAGTGAGAGCTGAGTTAGTCGCAAGCTCTTTTCATTCATAAAACTGCGCGTTCACTTTCCGTTTTTCTATGCCTTACTCAAGGCTATTTTTAACGCACACCGGCCGGCCGGAAATTGGTTTTGGAGACAGCTTTTTTGGCGCAGCCAGCCATGGAAAAACTTTCGCAAAAGGAACAATTTTCATGGAAAACTATGAGCTCTGCCAATCATTTGGCGGAGCAATCTGTTCTTAATTGCTTACACATATTACACTTATTATATTTTTATAAAAACATTTGTTTTTTTTTCATTTCTTCTTTTATTCAAAACTAGAATAGTTAATTTTGGGATCAGCTAAATTGAATAAATCGAATTATTTATCTATAACTTCATACTTTGAATATTAAAAAACACTAAACAATCTTACAAATATTCGCTTGGAATTGTTAAAAACAAAACCATGTTTCTATTTAATCTTGTAAGTAATCTAAAAGCAATTTGTTTGGTATAGAAAAATTCTGCAGCATTTTGTGAACTCGACTCAAGCTATATCTCTTTAATGTTTGCACATATATATTTATATAACACATTTCTCGTAATTAATTTCAGATCAAGTTTATGTAACACAAAAAAAATGAAAAAAATACGCAAAAGAAAAGTTTTAGTTGGTCACAAAATTGAATCAGTCAGCAAAGTCTTAGCCCATTCATCAATTTCATATTGTAATGTGTAAGCCAAAAATGATTATGCAATATGGTCGAGAACATTGAATTGAATTAGTCTGATAATGGCCAACTTGTGTATTATACCAATAGTAATATGATATAACTTGAACCCCCCCGGCTAAAAAGCATGTAAGAATGGCATCGAATTCTTGGTTGCCTAACAAAAATCTTAAATGGCGCGATATGGGTAGATAAAAATTATGGGAAAATCAATAAGGATGCCCAGCAACGACGCGCGTCCTTGAAAAGTAGGGGGGTGGGGGGGTGGCGCCCGTGAACCGATTTGGCCAAGAACCACCATTCATGAATCCCAGTCCAACTGGCATTTTATGAATGAATTCGAAAACGGGCAGCTGGATTCAACAGACCTGCGCATTAAATGGACTCGAAGAGAGGAGCACATTTCCCCAATTGCCAGCACTGACGTAATTACGCTCAAGGTCAGCGTAGAATTTCATTCATAAAATTCAAACGCCCAAAGGCGCGGCGCTTTTCTAGCGGTAAAATCGAAAGTGCGTGTGTGTGTGTGTGCGTGTGTGCGTGCGTGCGTGTTTGTGTGTGTGTTCAAGCGTGTTTTTGCCCCAGGGAGGATTGTGTTGCAATGGGTTTTGCCGCCTTTGGGTAGCGAATTATGCGGGATAAGTGCGCGCTATTTGCAGCTTGTTGATTTTTCTACGCGTGCAAACATTTCCCATTTTCATTCATCCAATTTTCCATTCAACGCACATCCCAAAAATTTCCTCAACATTTTCCAGTCTTAAGGCGGAAAGTCGAGTTTTCTAGCTGATTATCCTGCGCTTGGGTGCACTGACTTATTTGGTTAGCAAAAACATAAAGTATAAAATGGGAGAAAGACGGCCATATTTGACTCATCGAAGCCCAAATACCCATTTAAATATAATCATCGCCTTAAAAGTCTAAATATGATATAGGAGTACTTTCTAAAATATAATTATTCTAACTATTAATATATTATAGAAGGTGTTATATCATCACTCATATTTCGAGCGATTGTTCCTATGGAAGTTATATGAGTTACTAGGATTACTGACTGCTGCAAATATGCTTCGTCTTTCAGCAAGATTGATGCTAATCAAGAATTGAAATCAGAATACCCCATACGAGGCAACAAGGAAATTAGAAAGTCGCACAGTCTGTCAAACTGGGACAACACAGGACGTCCCACACAAGTTTACACAGGCAAATTAAAGGTTACGCAGAGGCGTTGCGGAAGTTAATAAACATTTAGGACTACATTGTTGGACAACAATGTATGTTTTTAATTGGTTAGGCGATTGCTGGCTTGTTGACCAAAAAAGATCCAATGCGTAATTAGTGCGCGCCTCTATTTTGGTCATTATATATATAATATAATCTGTTATCTTAAGCCACTTTCTTATAGTAATCTGAAATTATGTTATTAAATACCACATAGAAAACAACAATCTTAAACTGTAGTATTTTTATTATTGGGAGTTCAAGCTCTGTGAATTTGACGTGAAATCGACTGTATAAAAAATTCGATTGGAAATAATGATAATATAGAAATATTTATTTGTCTTGTGGTATTTCTTCAGCGCCTTTTAGAGACGGCGGCCACGTCGACCGCCCTTTCTACGCGTGGAATCGGACGGGATGGGTGTAACATCCTCGATGCGACCGATTTTCAGTGAAGAACGGGCGAGAGCACGCAGCGCCGATTGGGCGCCGGGTCCCGGTGTCTTCGTCTTATTGCCACCAGTTGCACGCAATTTGACATGCAGCGCCGTAATTCCAAGCATCTTGCATTTCTCAGCGACATCCTGAGCAGCCAACATAGCTGCGTAGGGAGAAGCTTCATCGCGATCCGCCTTCACCTTCATGCCGCCTGTGACCCGAGCGATTGTCTCGCGTCCGGACAGATCGCTGACATGCACGAACGTGTCGTTGAAGCTGGCGTAGATGTGAGCAACGCCAAAGACATTTTCGCCATCGAGCACTTGAGGACCCAGCTGCAACTGCACTTCCTCCTTCTGCACTTTAGCTTTTCGGGGCGCCATTTTGTCGCTGCAGGAATTGCAAAAAAAAAAAAGGAATACAGATTAAAAGACACTTTTCTGGATTTATAAATGGAATACCAGTTTTTGCAGGAAAGTTAGAAATATTATCAGAAAAAGTGAACATTTTTTTTAAGTCAGTGTTCTTTTTATTTATTTTTTGCTTTTTGTGTGTGTGTTTGCTTCTTTGTTAATTTATTTTACCTTGGGATTTTATGTCAAGATTTGTTTAACAGGATTTAAGTTCGTTTTCGTTAAGCCAATTATATTTCTCGTCCACTACTAGCTGAGAAGTGAATATTCCACAATTGTGCAGTTATATAGTATCAAAAAAAAATGGCATTTGTGTCTTGGCCTATTTCGAATTTATATTTCCGAATATTTCTTTGTCTGCCCAAAAAAATTATGCAACACTCTTCTTTTAGTGCAATAACAGCACCGTAAACAGCTCAATAACAGCACTGTAAATAGCGCAACAACAGCACTGTAACAGCGCTTTGCGCTGTTAAATTCAAATCGACTTTTGCAACAGAAAAAAAAGCACACAAAAGAAATGGGAGAAAAGGCAATAAGAGTAAAGTATCAGGATATATATAAAAATCAAGTTTATTCGGGCAATTCCTAAACTAATGCAATACATATACATCAAAATCCATTTCACTTAGGTCTACACATTACATAATTATCTACCCAGGGGAGGATTCTAAGACCCCAGCGGACGCAAGCAATTTACACGATAGCCAGAAGCAAGAAGGTAAAAAGAAAGTAGAGTAAAGAAAATTGAAATTGTAGTTTCAGCTACGTTGCACCGTTCGGCGCAATGGAAACAAACGGCTCGGATTCGGAACGTTTATGGGTGCGTTTGGGCAATCGCTTGGTTCGCTCCTTCTGTGCACTGGCGCTGGCCTCAAAGCCGGCCATCAGATCTGGCTCGCTGCGTGCCAGCTCCTCATCCTGATATACATCTTGAGCATTGCCTGTGGCATTCACATTCGTCACCTGCTCGTTGAGGCACACATCGTCCAGATCCACATCGCTATTGGAGAAGAGTGCTGTGGCCCCCAGTTCAAGCGAGTTTGTCACATCCAGCTCGTGTTCACTGGCTGCCTTCTTGGGCGTCGACGTCGTCGCGACACTGATCCGTGAGAAATTCAAACTTTGATCCAGCTGCGTGGCTGCGATTGTGACATTTAAGGGCTTAAATACAACATTGCCGCTGCTGCTGTTGCTGGTGATGCTGGTGCTGTTAATATTGTTATTGTTATTGTTATTATTATTTGTGTTTACAGCTTGAGCATTTGTGGTGTTTGTTGCAATGAAGGGCATATTGGTCATGCTGCTGGGCGTGGAGCTGTTCCTCTCCGTCTGATGCTCCTTCATCAGTTTGCATGCCTTGCCCAGCGCACAAACCGTTAAACAGATGCGCAGACCCAACGCAAACAAGTAGGCCAACAAAAACAGCAGCCAGGCAGCTAAATTGTGAAATGAGACAGCCGTGTAGATCGCCTTGATGAGCACCACGGACAGCGGAAACGGTATAAAGCCCATGCGTCGTGCAACCAGATCCGAGTGATCAGAAAATGCATGCTTCTGACGCGTCTGCGTCATGTCGTAGGCCAAACTTGTTGTATACTCGCGATAGATGCTCTCTGGCAACTCATTAAATCTTGTTATAAACGCATGTTTCACCCAATCGATGAGGATTTCGGTAAACAGCACCGCAAAGCAATCGGGCAACATGACACAAAATTGGGTAATGCTCCAATCGAATTCCTTCATAGTCTGTATCATTACAATGAACAACAGCACAGACAAATGGAAGCGTTCCCGCACATCGCTACAGGTCAACTGAAACAGATTGTTCTTGTCGAACTTCTTAAACACGGATCCCTTAAGCTCAACAAAATTGTTCGATATCATTATGGTGAGCAGGCCCTTATTATTGGAATTGACGGCAACATTTAGACAGGTGGCCTATAAGCAAAAATAAAATGAATAACAAAATAAATATATAAATATATCCAAAACAAAGAAGATAATACTCGTATACATATTATCTGTGTTTTAAATAAAAGAGAGCAATCTAAATCAAAAACTCACCTGAAACATGATGAGTCCGCTGTGCAGAAAGACATAGATGAGCGTAAAGAGAATGTGCGTGAGAACGCCGAAATGTTCGCGCTTGGAGTGCTTCGGCTCTGTGGCCGTCCAGAACAGAGCATCAATGGTGTCCTGGCCAAAGGCCGAGAGCAGACGATCCCCCACTTCGAGCATATTATAAAATATATACAGCTTGATGATCGATTGAGATTTGATGATGTGATAAACGCGATTCGTATCCACCAGCAGCATGATCAACGTCACCGATATCCAAATGGCACCCTTGAGCAGATCACAAATCTCTGCCGGCGACAACAGACGCTGATTGCCGCTGCGGAGTCGACAGATGCGTGCCACAGTGCGCGTGAGGAGTGACCAGACGGCCAAGAGGAATCGTACCGGCAAAAATGTGTGTATATAGAGAAAGGAGTCGGCACACTGCATTATGCCATAGACCATAAAGCGCTCCAGATCGCGGGGTATGCGCATAAAGCTGTATATCTTCTGGCGACGGGCCGAGTAGCGCTCCTCGTCGTGCTCCAGCATATAGCCGCGTGTCATTTCCACTTTGAAGAAGTCATAAAATGTGCTTGTCTCCGAGCCGGCTATATGGGCACAAAGATCGCATAAGAATCAATATCGATACTCAAATTTCCCAAATTCTCAAATTTACCGTTATGCAGGCGCTGCTGAGCCGCTGCTGCAGCTGAAACTGCAGAAGCGCCGACGTCATCTGGATTTGTTTGCTGTTTTGCTTTTGACAGTTTGTGTATTTCATCGTTTTGCAGCTCTTCGATACGGATGTTGCTCGCGCTGACGTCAGGAGCGCGAAAACGTAGCTGCCTTTTATTGGCGCTGCTATTATGCGTATTATTATGCATTTAATTCACTTTTTTCTTGCGTTGACTTAGTGAACTTGGCCAGCCAATTACATTTTGTTTTGCTACGCTGTTTCTCTTTCGCGACAAGTGTATACCCCCCAAGTGGCAGAGGAATATCTATATTTATCCATGTAGCCCTGGTCACTTCATATTTATCAACCGTTCGCGTGTGCACACACTGACAACAATATTAGTATCGATTGCAGCAACTCTGAAATATCGATACTTAATCGACGCAACGATAGTAGAGTTGCTACTTTTAAGCAAAAAAATAATTATTTGACTTGTTTGTATTCAATTTATTTATCGACTTAGTAGCAAAATATGACTGCATCCGTAGATTTGAGCTCATATCGTGATCAGCATTTCAAAGTAAGCATTACCAAATATCCAGATATCCAATATCCCCAGTCCTTAATATATTTGTTCAATTATTCAGGGCTCGCGGTCGGAGCAAGAACGCTCTTTGCGCGACTCTACCACACTCTATGTGGGAAATTTGTCATTTTACACAACCGAGGAGCAGATACACGAGCTCTTCTCGCGCTGCGGCGATGTGCGCATCATTGTTATGGGCCTGGACAAGTACAAAAAGACACCATGCGGCTTCTGTTTTGTTGAATATTACACGAGAGCCGAGGCAGAGGCGGCCATGAGGTTTGTTGTACAGCCACATCAACAATAAACAATAAGTAAAAGATTTATTGCAGATTTGTGAATGGTACGCGACTCGATGATCGACTGATTCGCGTCGATTGGGACGCCGGCTTCATTGAAGGCCGTCAATATGGACGGGGCAAAACCGGCGGACAGGTGCGAGATGAATATCGAACAGATTATGATGCGGGGCGAGGCGGTTACGGCAAGCTCCTCTCACAGAAGATTGCGCCCAACACAGACAACCGTTAGTGATAAAACTATTTAGCAACTAGAAATTAAAATACAATACAAAACATTATGCCTAGTTTCTCGAATTGTGTTTATATCTTTTTTATTCACTACACATTGAAAATCTGATATTGATTGACACTGGGTCACGGCACTAATTATTACATGATTCGATCCCTACAAGCATACATATGTAGTAGTAGTAGTAGCAGAATATATATCATTAGTTATAGGCGTCTACTTCTTGCCAATATTGTTGGCCAGGGAGCAGCTCAAGCCGGTGCCATCGGGCTCCACGTTCAACTCCTTGACCTCGCCATTTTGGACGACCATGGAGTAGCGCTTAGAGCGCACACCGCCCAGCGGTGGCAGATCAATGTTCACATCCAGAGCAGTTGCAAGTGCGCCGGAGGGATCGGCCAGCATGCGCACCTTGCCATCGGCTCCATGCTGCTTACCCCAGGCGGACATCACGAATGGATCGTTAACCGAAACGCAAACAATCTCATCCACGCCCTGCTCTCCCTTCAGCGAGTCTGCAGAGCTGACATAACCCGGCAAATGCGTCTGCCGAAAAATAATAAAAATAATTATATGAAATTAAATTACTTATGTATAATATTACAAATATATTTATTTTGAAATACCATAAGATATTCTTTTCGTAAGTAAAAGGATAAATCAAAAAATTAAAATATTATTTAAAACACAAAAAATATCAAAGCATTTATTATTTTGGAATTCTATAAAGTTACCGTTATCCATGTCAGAACTCACCTTGGAACAGCCAGGTGTAAATGCGCCAGGCACACCAAAGATGATCACTTTCTTGCCATTTGTCAGATCGGCGGTGTTTATCTTGTTTGCTGGAGAATCCTCAAAGAGGTCTACAGACGGCAGTTTGTCTCCAACCTAAAAATACACATAAACACACAAACACACAGTTGTAAGTGATGTAACCTTGATGCTGGCCTTGCAATTGTCGCTTCCGCATTAATCAATATTTATGCATTCCTTTTTTTTAGTGCTTATGTGCTTATGTAATTTTGCAATTGCGACACTTGTGGTCGCAATTTGGAGATGCTGAATGCTGAACCTACCTTAACCATGGCTCCAAGTGTTCTGGAAAAAGATCTCACGTTTGGCTTCGTAGAGTTCACAACTCGGCTAAAAAACCTGCACGCCTGCATTTCTGACACTGAAACAGCTCACACACACACTATCACCTGTGCTCAAAGTGCGATGCAAGCATAAGAGTTGCCAGCCTGTTCAAAATAAATATTATCTTCAAATCAACTCAGTTGTGATTTTTTACTACAATAAACAATTAATAAAAAAGCAATTTTGTTTTTTTTTCAGTTTTATATCGAGTTATCAGCAAAGCGTTCTAAATCGTCCAGGCTCTGTTCTTTGAGTTTTGCTTCAAAATCCGTCATGAATTCGTTGGTCAGCCTCTCGGATTGCACTTCCGTGTAGTATTTGCGAAATGCGCGATGGATGCAATCGCGTAGTCCCGGCTTCATGACAACCAGATTGATTTTGGTGCCCTCTTTGATATTCGGATAGGAGGCAATTGTCTGGTCATTGTTCAATGGTCGTCCAAGCAACAGTAGTTTCTGATTTGAGGCGGGAATTTGCAGAGCGGCATCAATTTTTTCTTTTACCTCCAGAATAGTGGACGTCGATGACACCTGGCCAGAGTGGAAGATGACATTACATTACAATCGTTCTATTATTTATGTAGTTAAGCAACCTACCTCAAGCGTGCAGTCTGTGCCCTTGAGCACCTTGATTGTAATTTGCATGACAATTCTTATCCGTTCGTTCTTAAAAACTTTATTTTATAAACACAACAGTGTTGCCATCCGCAATTTAGTGATGCATATAAATTTCGATATTTATAAATTATGTTGTCAGACATTCTTATGCATCGATAATTTATTATTTTATTTATTCGTATTATCTAATTTATTCGACACTTCCAAAATGATATATGTGTAAAATAATACGAATTTCAAAAGAAATTCTTCGTTTAAATTTTAAACAGTCTTTGGTTTAATTCCAGTCAGTTGTGCTGGTCATTATCTGTGTGTATCGATGAAAGTGGGTTTTTGTTGAATCGACCATCGATATTTTTCTCTAATATCTGCTATCGGTCTGTCCGGCAGCACTACATTTATTTGGCAGCGACGTTGCGTGAACAAAAATATATTTTACTTAAATACGATTTGTATAATAAAACTTGATATTGATGTTGAGTGTTATTGATGGAAAGGTGATTCAGAAACCATAAAGTTCATAACCAATTGTGAATTGCGCGACAGCCTTGTGAGAATTCACAATCAAAGGAGAAAATTGTAGTGCAAAAGCGAAGCGCAAATAAATCACACAGCAAATATCCACAGCCTCGAGAGCTCGAGTGAATTAACGAGAAAACAGTGCGAGCGTTGTGTGTGTGTGTTTGGTCAGAGTGTGTGTGTGCGTGTGTTAGAATTCACATTTTACGTAAAACAAAAAAAAAGGAAAAAAGAAAAGAACAACGAAAACGAAAACATCTATAATCAGCAAAAAACTTAATGTTAAATCTCAGTAGGGGCAAATTGAACAAGTTCTTGCAGCTTCTGGCGGTAAATAGAAGGCTCTCCCACCCTCACCCCCTCCCTCTTTCTACCAGTGCGCCTGCCCAGCCCTAAACGCGCTCCCCCTTTTGACATTCAGATTCACAATTGAACATTTTTTTATTTTTTATATTTTGCATATCTATTATTGTTTGGCTTGACGTTTTTGCTGCAACTATTAAATATGCATAGTACACATTCATTTTATTTTTGTTCTCTTTGTTTCCCCATGTTTAGCGAGTAGAGCTGTCGCCCTCCCGGCGCTCTAAGGTGACATATGAAATGTGTGCGAGAGTTTTTTCGAATATTGCTCTATACAATATTTATGTGTAGCGGAATGTAAAAAAGAGGAGCCAGCAAACCCCTCCTCAAAGCCCCGCTACCCGCTCAAGCATATCAACAAACGTCCACACACACACACACAAACGCACGCACACTTGACGCTCGTTCGCATGGGGAATGAGATGAATTCTGAGTCTGGCAACTCTGATCGACGGCCATTGCTTCGCAACTTGTTGCTTGCTGTCGCATTGCGTTTGTGTGTTTTGCTGTTTGTATTTATTTTCTGCGTTTGCAATTTCTCGCGGAAAACGCACAAAAGTGATGAGAGTGTGCTTTTAAGGGCCGTCACCTGATTCGTTAGATTCCTGTCGGCCAATTCGAATAATCTCTAAAAATTGAAATAAATGTACGTGTTTATGAATATGTACATGAATACATACAAACAAGCAGTGAGACATATTAAGTCGTATCGGAACTGATCAAGTGCAACTTCTTGGATGTGTTTAGAACCGTTTAGAACCGGATTTGGTGTAGTGTGGTGTGCTTAAGGCCATTGCTTGGTATTTATATGTGACAACTTCGATTTCTGGCCAAGTGTGCACGGTTTTCTTTTACCTTTCCTTTCCCCTTTTTATATTCGCACTGCTCGTGTCTGCTGTGTGTGATTATGTGTTCGTATTTGTGTGTGTGTGTGTGTAGGCTGATCGGTACATTTTTTTTGCTGCATGTAGTTTTAGTTTATTTTTTTTTTTCGTCTAATTTGGTTTTTATTTTTGTTACGTTAATTTTCTTTTCGACACTTACCCATACAGCAGTGGATTTTAAATTGTGCCCGTCATTATCAGATTCAAATCAATTAAAAGAGCGAGCGAGAGAGAGAGAGAGAACAAATTAAAGTGAACGAGAACTCTCAGCTGTTGTTGTTGTTGTTATTGTTGAAGGAAGAAGCAGAGAACTAAGAAAAGCAGGCAGTAACAATATAAAGCTGCAGATAAAGCTGAAAGCGTATTATGGATAACGAAGCATTAGAAACAGCAACAAAAAGCACGACAGCGGCAGCAGTAGCGGCGGTGTCAACAACGTCAGCGACAGAGGCAGCAGCAGCGGCAACCAAAAACGAAACGGCCCCAACACACAACAACAACAAAGTCACAACAGCCACTAACGGTATCAAAGAGAATAGCAGTAACTTTAGTACAACAACAACAACAACAGTAGCAGCAGCAGCAACAACAACAACAACGCCAGCATCACCAACAACAACATCGCCCATCGTTGTGACAAGCGGCACTGTTGTTGTTCCAACAACCAACAAAAGCGAGGTGAGTTATGAATGTTTTTATGTACATCCATCTCTTTGTATGTGTGCGTGTGTCTGTGTGTGCACAATGCGTTGTCCAACACTTGAGCCCAATCCAATGAGTCCCGGATATTGATTTAGTATATATATCATATGCATATACACCATTATTATTTACAAACAATAAATAATAAATATTGATGCGATAGACATAGCTTGAATATCAACCACTTTAACCATAACAACCAACCAACGTCCAGCGACCCAATGCAGCATGTTTAATATTTGACGTCAATTATATAGAACGATTTATGTGACAAGTATCGTCGTACCCCGCATAGATATATCTATATATACATATATATAGCACTTATAGGCCTCCTAGTGGCCTCAACCTTAACGCACAAAATGAATATCTAATCTTATCATCGCCAATGTTTTGTACCCATGTGCCTGATGATTGATTCCAATTAGATTCTCAATGTTTGCCTACAAAATAAAAAAAAAAATGTAAAAAAAATCTATGTAGTAATACACCTATACATGTGTGTGTATAGAGAGTGTGCACCATTTCTTTGTTTGGCATTACTAAAATCGAGACTAACACCCACCCACAGGCGACAGCTCGACTTAGGCGACAAGGATTTGCACAGAGCAAGGTAAAAGTTAAGGATAAGGTGCCTTATGTAAATGGATTTTTTGAGCCCAATGCTGGTTGTCTTTTTTTTTTGCAAGTGAAATTTATTTTTTGTTTGAATTGTGCAATTTGTTTGGTTTTTGTTTTTGTTGCGCTCCTCCGATGGACTCTCTCTCTAGCCCCTCGCTCCCACTCTTTCTTTCTCTCTCTGTCTTTCTCCCATACTTCCGCAATGACCATGAATTTGCTCGGTATTTGCAGGCTAACAAGACAGACAAGGACAGCACACCACCGCGAGATGCACCGCCGCCCACGCAGATCACGAAGGGCTTGAACCTAACAACTACGCCGCTGGTGCGCAAGGAGAAACGTCAGAGCAGCAACCGTTACAATGTGTCCAAGAACTGTGAACTGACGGCACTCAGTCCGCTAAATGATAGTGAGTAAACAAAATATTTACGCCACCCCCTCCCACAAACAACATTTATGCATACATATATGTATATATATATATATATGCATTTATATATATATATATATATATGTGTGTGTGTGAAGGGGTTCTCAACGTTGTAATTTTTTTAAAATTTATTATTTGTTTTATTGCATTATTTAGCAAGTTCGCAAAGGTCAAGTGAGCGATGTTTTATTTGGTTTTATTTTGTATTTTTTTATTTTTTTTGCATGGTTGTTCAACACTAGTCACAAATATCAATATGCAAGTAACGCCCGCCGCCCCATTCATGACACTTGCCTTGCGCGCCACTTACGCGCCGCTCTCCGGCTGTCTTGCACCGGTTTGCTCCGTTTGCTGTCCCTATCTTGATAAATTTGAAATTTTATTGCTCACCCACTTGCTAATTATTAAAACGTTTGCCATTGGCATTCGAATTGTTGCCATTATGGTGGCTATCTGGCATTGTTGTCATTGCTGTCATAGTTTTTTTTTTTATAATTTGTTTGTCGTTAATTATGCGCGTTCTCTTGCTGCTTCTGCTGCTGCTGCGCTTACGCTCTCGTTCTTGCTCTCTCATCCTGAGCTCGCCCACGGCAAATGTTATCGATTTTTTTGTGTCGACTGGGCGCCCTCAACGAACAGCCCCGCAGTCAATACGAGTTTGCGGCAGCTTTTCGCATATAAAAACTGAAAAATTAACTGTTATCGTTATTGCCCAGCAGTTTGGTTATGTTGTAAAGTTGTGGCAAATCATTGTGACAACCGTTTCATTAGTAGTTGGCAAGCGAGCAATGCACCGTTATACCAAAAATAAAATAGCTAAAATTGCAGACATTGCAAAAACCGGTTCCGTTCCCAATAGAAAATCGTAAGTGATATGAAATACATGCTCACATTTACACACACTCACACACAGACACAAATAGATAAATTACGTGGCAGGGGAGGGAGGGATTGTAGTGTCTATAGTTAAATGTTTTTTTTTTTTCTCTTGCCCAGCAATTAACTTCATTTTTCATATACATTTTTCATTTGCATTATTCAATTCATTTGCATTCCATTAACATGTGCCATGCTTACATAAATAAATCATAATCTATATATTGCAATTCCCATTACAGATGCTATAAAAAACATAATTAACGCTTAACAAAAGAATACAAACAAAAACAACAACAACAAATTCAAGCAAAAATTAACTTTGATAGTGTTACATTTTCCTACCCCATCGTTTGTTGTTGTTGTTCCATGTGTGTGTGTGTGTGTCTTTGTTGTTGTTGTTGTTAGCAATTATCAAATGAAACCACATTAAGCCAAAGTGCAAGTGCGATGCGTTTCGATTGCGCCGCCATTAAACCAAGTGCGGCACTAATGAAATGGTCATCGGTGCTATGTTGTTAACGGGTAACCATCTAAACGGCCCCAACAAACAGCAGCAGCAACAGCAAACGACTGCAGCAGCAGCAGCAGGAGCAGCAGTCGCCAACAACAACAAGACAGCAACAGCAGTAGCATTAAGGCAGGAGCAACAACAACAACAACAGCAACAGCAGAAGCCAACAACAGCAACAGCTGCCACCCCTGGTTACTATGCACTGGGTGGCATACGCATACCCAAATCGCCATCGTTTCACAGCGGCTTAGATCTGCTGGCTGACGACGACGACGACGAGCTGCAACAGCAGCAGCAGTCGGAGGATAGCAGTAAATTTAAATTTAGCAGCGTGGAGGAGCTAAAAGCGAAATTCGAGGCGCAGGCACGTAAGATGCCACTGTCTCCGCCAGAGGCAAGTGTCGCCAGCAGCAGCAGCACCACCATCACCACCACCACAACAGCATCATCATCGCCATCCTCATCATCGACTAGCTCAAATTCATCGGGCTCAGCGCTGTCATCGCTGTCTCAGGCTGGCTCATCCTCTCTGGCCTCGGCAGCTGCCAGTTGCTCCACCTCATCAGCGGTCACATACGGCGGTGGTGCGAATTCTGCAGCTGCTGCTCTAATAGCCGGCTCATCGCCATTTGGCTCACAATCATCGACATCGTCGTTGTCGCTGTCGTCTAATCCAGCAAATGTAACTGCAACAACAACAGCAGCAGCCGGAGCATCCACAGTTACCATGTCAAAGAGCACACCCAGCACAACAGCAGCAACAACAATTGGAACTGCAGCTGGCAGTAGTGGCAGTTCCTCCCTGGTGTCCACCTTGGCGCAGCACTTCTCGGCAGCAACCACAGCCAGTTCATTGTTGAGCACAGCATCCGCAGTGGCAAGCGTCTCATCCACAACCGTCAGTTCGGCCAGCAACAAGGTTTGCAGCAATTGAAAAAATCCAAATAAAAAATCCAAAAAACATACACACAACACAACACCCACAATCAGACATATTTAAAAACCAGACACAATAACAATAACAATCACTATGAGTTGTATTCGTACACATAATGAATGAAATTCTTTGCTCTACTCATTTCATAAATCGATATCACGCTCAACCTCAAAATCAAAAACAAAAAAAAAAAAAACCAAACAAAACAAAAAAAATATCAAAAAACGATCATTCAACTGAACAGTCACCCGTGAGCGCTGCCGCGGCCATTAAGAACATATTGAATGCCACCAAAAATGTGGGCAGCAATGCAGTTGCTGCTGCCACCACCAACAACAGCACCACCAATACCATCACCACCGGCAACAACAGCAGCAGCAGCAGCACTAGCAACGTCGAAGTGATGCTTGATGGCAGCACCACCTCAAGCGCCACGACAGTGGCACAGAATCTGGTCGGTGGCATAAGCATATCTCTGGGCATTGGTCAGCGCAACGGCGGCAGTGCGTCGACGTCTGTGGCATTAACATCAACGTTAGCATCGTCAGCGTCTGCGTCGTCGTCTGTACCAGCAGCGGTACGCCAAAATGGCGATACCATTGTCCATAATAATCTGTCGTCGCCGCAGACGCTGCAACAGCTGACGGGAAGTCCAGGACGTGCACGCGATCGGAATCTGTTTCACTCGCCACCGAATGCATCAACTGCGCTGGCGTTGCCGCCACTGCGAGGTTGCTATTGGTTACGCTCCTTCTTCTTAGCTACTTAGAGATCCATTATTTGAATTAACCAAAATCTGTCTTAGTTTCGCTTGCTCTTTTTATAGCCAGTTTGAGTTTTTCAGTTGTTGTTGTTTCGTTAATGTCCGCTCTTATTTTGTAGTATATAATTTTAATTTATTGATGCCAACATATGTATTTGATTAGGCAGTATAAATGACAATATCCGTATTATTTGTTCCCATAGAAACGGCAGCAGCCGAGCGGGAGGAGCTGTTCTTGCAGAAATTACGGCAATGCTGCACCTTGTTCGACTTCTCCGAACCGCTGAGCGATCTAAAATGGAAGGAGGTCAAACGTGCCGCTCTCCACGAGATGGTCGAGTATCTCTCCAATCAGAATGGCGTCATTACAGAGATTGTTTACCCGGAGGCCATCAATATGGTAAGTGACATCAAATATATATATAGATTAATATATCTCTTCATTAATATCGTTATTATTGTTCAGTTTTCTGTGAACCTATTTCGCACCTTGCCGCCCTCGTCGAATCCCAATGGCGCTGAATTTGATCCGGAAGAGGATGAGCCAACATTGGAATCATCTTGGCCACATTTGCAGTTAGTCTATGAGCTGTTTTTGCGCTTCTTGGAGTCACCCGATTTTCAGCCAAATATTGCAAAACGCTTTATCGATCATCAATTTGTATTGCAACTGTTGGACTTATTCGATTCAGAGGATCCGCGTGAACGTGATTTCCTTAAGACTGTTTTACATCGCATCTATGGCAAATTCTTGGGATTGAGGGCATTTATTAGGAAGCAAATAAACAATGTGTTTTACAGGTTAGTAATTGAAAGTACTAAACGCGAAATATGTTGATGCTTATGGAACTTTTGCTAATCAAATGACTTTCAATTTCCCAAATAATTCATAGATTTATCTACGAAACGGAGCATCATAATGGCATTGCAGAGCTGCTGGAAATTTTGGGTAGCATTATTAATGGATTTGCCTTACCGCTCAAGGAGGAGCATAAACAATTTTTACTTAAGGTATTGCTGCCATTGCATAAGGCCAAGAGCCTCTCCGTGTACCATCCGCAGCTAACCTACTGTGTAGTGCAGTTCCTTGAGAAGGATCCCAGTTTGTCAGAGGCGGTTATCAAGTAAGTTAGCAGTATCGAATTTATCAACGTAAAATCGTAATTAACTTTTGCACAATATATTTCTGCAGAAGTCTATTGAAGTTTTGGCCCAAAACGCACAGTCCCAAGGAGGTGATGTTTTTGAACGAACTGGAGGAACTGCTCGATGTTATAGAGCCGGCCGAGTTTCAGAAGGTGATGGTGCCGCTGTTCCGGCAGATATCCAAGAGCGTCTCCTCGCCACACTTTCAGGTGGCGGAGCGTGCGCTCTATTATTGGAACAATGAGTACATTATGTCGCTGATAGCGGACAACTCGCATATCATTTTGCCCATCATGTTTCCGGCGCTCAATCGCAACTCGAAGACGCACTGGAATAAGACCATTCACGGTCTCATATACAATGCACTCAAGCTGTTCATGGAGATGAATCAGCGGCTGTTTGATGAGTGCAGCAAAAACTACAAACAAGAGAAGCAGCAGTAAGGAATAGACAACTCACTAATTAATAATACTTAATCTGAATCGCAATAATTAATTGCCCACCGTTTTGTTGAAGGGAACGCGAGAAGTTATCACAGCGCGAGGAGCTCTGGCAGCAGGTGGAGACACTGGCCAAAACCAATCCGGAGTTTACTAAGACCCGACAATACAACGTTGGTGTGCCGATGTCCGATAGTCAAATACTGTACGATCAATACAATGATAGTTGTGATCTAACCTACGATAAGATTGAGCAACAGACAAGATCGCAACCGCCGCTAACGCAACAACAACAACAACAGCCAAACCAGGAGCCCAGAGAGGTGAGACAAGCCATTGCCACACTAACCACGCTACACAACTACTAACTCTGACACACACATCAACCACACCAACGTATTTGTGTCTGAGAACAGCGAGTGTATGTGTGTGTGTGTGTGTGTGTGCGTGCTTGCGTTTGTGTGTGTGTACTTCTTTTAACAATAAGCGAACATTGGATTACATGAAAGCCTGTTACAAACTATAATCGCACTCATATCCAGTTCTAAATACATGTTTCTTTATCTTTATTCTATTAATATATGTACGACTTATTTATTGGTTTTATTTTAATACACATACATTTTTAAACAACGCTCCCAATTCAACAAGTGTACGCAAAACAAACAAAAAAAGATAGTAAAATATTTATGTACATGTGAATGTTACTGACTAATTGAAACACTGCCACTGCCCTACACCTTACTAACACTTTATATTTGCGCTTAATTATCAAAAACCCACATAGTAGGTTTTTAGATTAAAATCGATCAACTTATCAATAACAAACAGATTATAAAAGAGCTATTAGTCCTTGTCATGTACACTGTATATATATTTCTTGGTACTATTGACAAACTGAGCTACAGATCGTTTGTGAATCGATAAATTATATTCCACATGCCATCATTTTAGACATTTGGAATGAATTGCTTATAGAAAATCGGCTGTGTTTCAAGAAATGAAAATACAAAACATGTACTCTTAGTTTAACAAGTGTATTTAGCCATAGAACATTTCACTACTAATCGTTATTTAAAACTTTTCCAAATGATAAGCTCTCCAAATTTAAGGATAACATATTCAAAAGCTTAAGAAATTCAACTCTTTCAAATTTACACAAATAATCAATGACATTCGACAAATAATCGATCTATTTGTATAGCAAAATTCTGTAAGAAAAGAAAACAAATCAAATGAACAATATGAGGACTTGGGTTTTTTTGTATCATTGATCGGACTACGCCCATTAATCATCGTTTTTAAAAGCAATCAATTAGATACATTTGTAAATGCAATAAACCACAACTATTTGTTGACGCAAATATATATAGTATATGTACATAAATAGTCGTGCAATGTATGTGTTTTCTCTATGCGACATCTCAGCAACTAACTATATACAACTACATGCATATGTACATACTATGTAACACTCACTACAACTACTACTACTGCCGCACAGTCTGAATAACAACTTTAGAACTTGTAAATGTCAAAAATGTCAAGTGTCGCACCCTTTCGTAGTCGTAATCGTACTTGTTATCGACAATCGGTCTGGGTTCAAAAAGAGGGGGCCCCATCATATAAATGCCTTACGTCTGCATTACGCTCCCCTCCACCCACAGATACGCGGTGATCGCAACAAGGACAAACCGCTGATGCGACGAAAATCCGATCTACCCTCGGATAGCGGTGTCGTGCACGCCCTCATCGAGCACAAGCGAACCGATGAGTATCTGACAACGCCGCCGCCAGATGCAAACAACTATTAGGCGAAAAGGTCGCCGCCTGCTGCTATATCCCCCTCAATTCGGGGCTGGCCCAACGCTAAGGTTCTTTTATAGATTAAACAACACACACACGAAAAAAAAAAATCAACAAAAAAAAAAAACAACAACTACACAACATGTTATAGAAACAGAAACAAAAATTTATATGTATGTCCAATCGATGATTATAATGAAAGGGGGGCTGGATGATGCTCGAAAATGATGTTGACGATGATGGTAATAATGATTAATAAGCTGGCGTTTAATTATTGTTTATATATATATATATATATATGTATATGTATTGCATTGTCGATGGGGGCTTGTGAGCGTGACCGTGCAACGATTGTAGCACACAATTTCTATAGAATTCTATATAAAAATATACAAATAATAACTATAAAATAAATAAACATGCATAGTACCAACCAATAAAGAGCTAAAAATCCAAAACATAGAGCAGCTTTTTTGAGTTTTCGATGGAACACATTGCATGCGCCAAATATACAATAAATAAACAAAAATGATGATGCTGATGCTTTGCTTTCCAATGTTGTTGTTTTGCATGCCAAACAAATTGTTGTTTTTGCCAACATTTCAATAATAATCTGGATTCACTTATGCTCTTACCATTTCAGTGAATACGTCAAAATTTGTACAGTTTTTGAATTGACATTGCGTAATCTTAAGACGTAAGAATCAACCACCTTGATTGAGCATACCATACCAACCATATATACTATACATACATATATATGTATGTGTAATACTATTTCGTTCTAGCTACAATACTCATCCATACAAATGCACTGCGTGCTGCGGTATGTAAACGTCAAGAATTCTAAAGATTCAAATACCATTTTAGTGAGCAAATTTAAGCATTACTTTTATGACATTTCCAACACTAGTCATTGTGCTTTTTCTTAAATAAAAATCGAAAAGAAAATTAAGTGTAATCAAGTTTATAATCAGAAGAAAAATGCAATAGACAAACTTAGCGAGCGTATTATATACAACTAATAAATAAATAGAAAGGATTATTATTTCATATGTTGCTGGCTGTAAAACATACAATAATAATAATAAATTTAATATTAATTGGTACAACAAATTGTCGGAAAATCCGCAAACAATTGCAAATTATAAAACCATATATTATTTTGAAATGAATAATTAATTGGATGTCGACTTTTCTTAAAGAAATACTTAATAATTCGATTGCTCACTTTAGTGCAATATTCTCGACTTTTCTAAACCGCTAGAGCGCAGTCTATATTTTATTCATAAATAGCTCTAATAGAGGCCACGCACTCTACGTACAGCTGAACCGTAATAAATTATAATTACTATTATACAATATGCGATTTACCTTACAATTAGCTGCTTAATTATATATGCTATTTATATATGTGTATGTATGTATATTGTAATTTGTTAAAAACAAATTTGGTATGTATGTTTTTATGTATGTACGTATCGTATTTTTTGTTTCATCGAGAAAGTACAACATACGATAAAAAAAAAGAGAATGATGAATGATCCACGAATCATATTACTGGTGGGAATTTATTCGTGGTGAGTGCCAAGTTATTTATAAGCAGATGTTCCTTTAGATCAATATGCATTGAATATTTTTGTGATCTATAAGTTTTGAGCATCGCCAATTGAAATGAATCAACAAGAGTACTCAAACGACATCTACATCTGCAGAAGTGGTTTATATATATATATATTTACCGCTTGATCATAATCCATATAAATCATCCCCCTCATCAGCTCCGGAAACAGGGCTATAAACTGACTTGGACTATTTGCTGGTCGTAGCTACTACAATATATAATTAAAAACCATAAATACTTAAAGAATACGCATATATACAGAATCCGTGTCAAATAATAAGTTGGCGCTAATGCACAACAGTCATAAAATATATTTGCATACATACATACATACAAGTCCTGGTATCTGACCCGGATTCATTGTAAAATAAAAAAAAGTAAATAAAAATAGTTCAACTATTCAAGCAGTTGTATTGCAAAAGCTGATGAACTTTTTGCTACCACTACCAAGTGCTGTACAGGCCAAGTAATGAAAGGCTTCATTTAGTTTTAGACACACATATATATATATATATATATGTATATATATATATATATATTATATATAGAGATGTATTTACATATTTTTGGCATTATAGATACATATGAAGGTTACACAATAATAAATAAAACAAAACCGACAACAATTTAATTGAATAAAGCAAAAATATTTCCCTATGCTGGAAAGCGGTGAAAAATCTAAGTTTTCTATTTAAGAACTACACAAAATAAAACAAAAAATTGAGTTATACAGATCTTAAACAGAACACAAATGGATTTTGTAATTTTAGGCATAGAAAGCGGTAACAGAAACGTGTAATTTTGTGTAATATTATGAATAAAAGTTAAATCATGTCAAGAAACAGCCTTTTCAAGATATCATTTTACAACCTAAAGCCAAGCGTATACAGGCAAAGAAAATTCTTTAAGCCCACTTGGCTTTAGCTTAGCATTAATGTTAAACATCATTAAGCAGAAAAAAAATCAAAAAAAAAACTTAATAGCAAGGAACATTTACAGATCGGCGTAATTACATTATCAACTAAATACATAAACACGACGATTAATCATCAGATATTTGATATTTGACCATGGATGTGATTAGTTCACCGGAGCCTGCAGCGGCACAAGACCGCGTGTCTTGACTGCCAGCTCGGTCAGATGCTGTTGCAGCAGCCGCTTGTTGACCTTAACTCTGTGAAGCATAACGATTACAATGATGTAATTTGCATTAAAGGCATTAAATTCTACTCACTTAATAATTAGCGAAATGTAACGCAACTTTTCTGTTTCGCTGATGAGCTCTGTGGGAAAATTGGGCACGGCCATGACGTTCCTTAGCCAGACGGCCATTTCGGCGGGATACTTTTTGTTCATGGCCAGAAAGACATCAGCAAATTTATCCACTTGCTGTCGTGGCGTCATATAGCCAACACATATCATTGCCGTCTGGAGAATCTGTTCACCAGTCGCAAGCACCACGTCAGTCATGTGGGCATGATTGCGCGATTGCATTATAAAGTGTGTTACAAACTGGATGCTGTTGCGTATTGGCCCATTCTCTGGCAAAGTCATGGACTGTTGCGCATAGTAGATGAGTCGTTCGTACGCAATTGTCTTATCCTCCAGGACTTGGGGCACTTTTTTAATGATTTGAGTGAGACAGGCAAAGAACATTTCCATTGTGTCTGATATATTAGAGAAGTTCTGCTCGGGCGTATTCTCAAACAGTTTAAAACTGTGCGTTATAAACTCAAAAAGGAGCTGCTTCATCAACGGCATGCAACTTTCCTCAGCGTAGAATATGACAATGGCCTGCAGGAAAAGAAAAGAATAATGAAAATGTAAAAAGAGAGTTGCATTGAATAATCCAACTTCTTACTGTCTTGGATATTTCCAGAGTGGGCGCACAGCAGCGCGTCTGAAAACTGGCCACAATAAAGTAGCACAAATCCTGCAGCATGGGACGAAAACTGCTTCTCAAATTCATAATGGCGTGCTTCAAGGCGTTGCAAGCGGCCTGTAAGAAAATGTGTTACACAATTCCAATTTTGGATGATTATTATTGTATGGGGCGCACCTCTAATACATCCAGTTCCTCCACCCACAACTCGGCAATCCGTCGAAAAATGGGCATGGTTGTCTGCATCACCAGAAGGACGGGCTGCACATTGTGCACATCTTTGAGCTCATCATCCAGATCCGTGTTAAGCGATGAAAACAGAGTGGAGATCATGCTGAGACGGAAAATTGTGCGAATACGTGCTGAGGGCGTCGTCTGCAGAGAGGGAATTAACAATTTAAGACTTTCAGAAATATTAATATATTATAATATTCACGTACAGCGCCGGCCTGGCATATCGTCTGCAGCTCCTCAAAGCAGGGACTAACTATGAGATCCAAGTATTTGGGTATCTGTTCCGGTGGCAGCAGGCTCATCAGTTTGCCAATGCTAAACATCAGACGCACCGAATCCGAGTTCTTCATGCGACCTGAGGAAAGCGTGGCCTGGCAAGCGTCAAGCAGCGGTTCCGCGTACGGTTTCAATTGCATTTGGCAATCGCGACAGAGTTCCTTCAGGCCTAGCGTTGCCTGTGCCGACATTGTTGAATTCAAGCCACGCACCAGCAGATCAATGGCTGGTGGTATATAAGTTGGATTATCCGTCAGCCAAGAGCAATAGGAGCCAATTGTCTCCAACGCAGTGCCGAGCAGCTTCTCATTTAGCTTCTCATATGGTATCTCCGAGAGGACGCGCATTAGTTTGGGTATTTGGCGCGACTCCTCGCCACCAAAGTGCTCGGCCACCGACTGAAACGAGTAGATACAAGCCTCCAGTTTTGTCCAGTGTGTGGGATGTGTTTGCAGCTCAGCAATGGCCTCGTCTAGCATAGCAGCCAATATCTCCAGTATGTAATCGTCCAGCACATCATAGCAATACATCTGAAAATTCATAATTAGCGTAGCTCAATCTTCAACAACAACATCAGTGCTCTGGACTTACAAAGGTATCGGATATATCCTGACGATAGCAGCGAAAACATTCCAGATCATCCGAGTTCCACTTGTCAATGGAGTTCTCATCGGGTTGCTCCGACTTGCGCACTAGCACGGTGGTCAAGTGTGCATAGAGCGGTTTTATATGCTCCCAACACTTGCGTTTCTGCTCTTCAGGCATGGCAAACACATCGCCCTGCAGCATATACCAGAAGGCCAAGGCCATGGTGCTGCATGATTCCTCCACCGGATAAATGCCCGGTTTATCCGTACACTGCAATATCTCATGCACCATACGATTCCAGATGGCCGACAGCTCGGGATCTGTGGCCGTGATGCCGCTCAAAAATAGTGCCGAGTGCCGTTCCACAGCGGACACAAACAGCATATAGATATGCACAATAATATCCTCATTGTCATTTTCACGCTTCCATTCCCGCTGCGTAATGTCGCACAACGAATCCAAAAACATTTTTATTAGAATGGCCGCCGTCTTTGGATAGTTGTGGCAATCCGGTTGCACAATAATATTGACCATGGCCTTCAGACACGTCTCGGCCAGCTCATTCTCATCGGCGGACATGCAACCAAGGCCAGAGCGAATGCAGGGCCAATAACACTTGTTCACCAGCTCCAAGAGGACCTCACAGATACTTACGCAGCCCTCAATCGAATAGCCAATGCTTCTGTATAGGTTTTACAATAGTGTCAATAATTGAAATTGAAGTCAGTGTGTCTTTGGCCAATCATATCGCACCTTATCCAAACTCCTACGCACTTCACCGCACGCAACATGTTGCCATAACCCTCCGTGTCCCATTCTGTGTTCATCTGCTGCTTCAAATATGTCTCGATCGTTTGCAGCACGAGCGGCACACGCTTGCCAATTTCGCCACGTAGCGTTACCCGTTTGACGGATGTGTGAATAACCTGCGACTCCTCTGGTATGCCCAGCAGCACCTCCAGCAGGATCCATAGTTGCACCTCGGCACTGACATTCGGCATGCGTTGTCTTTGGAACGTCTCAACTACCTCCTCAATGGCGCAGGGCCAATCCTCCAGCATGTGCACAATAAAAGCGCTCAACTAGAACCAAACAGAGGGACAGACAAAAAGTATAAGAGGTTTTTGACTGTTGAAGCATATCATCATAGTACATCACTTACCGATAAGCAGAGGCGATTGAGTACTATTTTGGGTCCACCGGCGAATTGCACAATTGTCTCCAATATCTTCTGCTTAAGCTCTTCGCGATTTTCGGGCGGCACTTCATGCCAATATTTCATTAGTTTTGAGTGTAATGTGACCGCGCCAAAAAATTGGACTTCTTGACTCTGTGCAACATCAAATGCAATATATAGATACAAAATAAAAACAAGCGATATATCGATTTGTTACCTTGCCGAGCTGCATTAGCTGCCAGGAGAATTGCCAGGCCTGTGGGCTGGCCTCGGCCTTCGTCAGCCATTCGTGTGTAATTGCCTGTTCCTGTGATGTTGAGCGGTAAAATACAACCACCGCCTCTTCTAGGCGCGCAATATCGATGGTTTCCAATTCCATGTTCACCGACTATAATTTCTAAGCCGCCTCAAATCGCCCAAGTCCCAGCAAATCAAGCAGGACTTGGCCTTTTCAACCTTTTTTTCCTATATTGATGCAAAAACGAGCTCCTAACGACTAGGGGTGGCCAATGTTTTTGGCGAATCGACAATTTCGATACGCTGCGCTAAAAATATCATTATCGATAATTCTCCGTTTGTCGATAACATATTGTGTGCTTGTTAATATGCGGGCAATTCAAATTGTTAAATGCCCTTTTAAGATAGCTGCGTCATAAACAACCAGTACATTAAATAATCAATTATCAATTATCGCAAGCAAAATGCATTTATTTTTCAACTTTAATGCTATTGAGCATTAACCAGCTTCACAATAAGCTTCCTGAGCTTCAAAATCGACGAACTATGTGTAAAAAAATAGCTCATTTCGTAAAATATCTAAATATTTTTTTCAAATTCATTGAATTTTAATTAAAATAAAAATGTTTTCCACAATTGCAAGATTAGTTTAAAAGTCAAAGGTCAGCTTCCAGAAGCAATACTTGAGCCTACAGCTATGCTGTTCAATATAACACTTGCTATCCTTATCCACATACAGAATAAGCTGTTCATTTTTGCATAAAGTGGTCACAGCCTTAGCGGCCGACTCCGGATCGAGCATGGAGCGTTCGACAACGCACCACTTGTGTGTGCAGAGGCCCGGATTCTGCAGCTCCAGCAGATGAAAAATATTTGACAGCTGCTTTGATTCAACCACTTGAGGCAGCACCATGCTGCATTTCAACAGTCCATAATACTTGATGAGACTTGAACACTCGTAGAGATTGCCGACACCAGTAGTTATCCATTCATAGGTCTCCTTATCCTCACAGAGCACCCACATTTTGTCACCATACACGGAAATTGAGGCATATTCACTGAAGTTTAAGCGCTCACAGATTCGAGATGACTCGAACAGACCACACAAATGTTCCAGTTGGCAACTATATGCCGGATTCTGTTCATCAACATTATTGCTTATAACTACAGCATATTTGCGATGTTCCGGTTTCATGATAATGTACGGAGCCGCCGGAGCACTTTGAACAGCTGCTGAATCTAATTTTAATGGCACTGTAAAATTATGGTTAGCAATATCTCCAAGTGTAGACGATCCTTCTGGCGCTTTTTCAACTACTGTAATTTCTATTTGCTGTCCTTCAGAAGGAATTTCCGGTGATGGTGATGTTACAGAAACTTCGGACACACTCTCACTAATAAGAACACGAGTCTCGTGCTCCGAAATATTCGAAGTTTGATTGGCCTCTTTCAACGGCAGCATTACTGCCGTAGATGTTGGCTCACAATCTGATTCGTTAGGCTCCGCTACAGGGCGAGATCTAAAAGTTGATCAATATAAGTTTTAAATCAAATATAGTTGTCGCTTGAGCTTTGGTTTATAAACTAATTACCTTTTTACCGGCGAATTAGATTTGTCAGTTGACGTGCGTTTAAGAGTAAGTGCGTCCCCAATTGAATCCGATGAGGTGCTACTGTTGGTACTGTCACTTGAATCCATTTCGGACGCTGTTGAATACCACGCTTCGCTCGTTTCGACGATATACTCAAAATATGGTGGCACCTGATCGATGGCAAATTTTTTGGCATCCGGCGGTTGGCGAAAGAAGTTGGTCTGATTGCCACCTTCGATCCGATTGTAGAACTGCAAAAAGCAGTGGAACTTCTTGTTTTTATATAAGGAAATTGCTGCGCCATTCATCTTATTGCCGTCAATTTCCTGATTAACGACCTTGTCGAGCTTATCACAGTTGCCCAAAGTGCGGTCCAATGTTTTTATTTCCTGCTCATCGGCCGATATACCTACAAAGGACTCCAAATGCGTCTTCAAATTGTAGACTGTGGCCGTATCCTTGATTTCGAAAATGTGAGGTACCTACAAAGCCGTGATCGCTATGATTGTATTACATATTTATAAATGTACTCTTACACGCACTTACTTTGGCATTGCCCTCATCCTCCAACTTTATTTTCACGAACATCTTGCAAATTCAGAATAATGGGATTATATCACTGCAAATTCGTCAATTTGACAGTTCACAGTTATTCACGTTTATGAAATATGTATGTATATATACGGTTAAAACTACAGTTATGAGAGCACAGAGTTGCCAATTTTTGACATTTTTAGCCGCTTAAGGGTGTTGGAAAACAACAGCTGATGACGATTTGCAGCACTTAAGATCGCATTGACTGTAAACAAGTAGCAATTTGTAAACAATTTGTAATTAAACAAAAAATTAATCTATGATGTCCGTGCCCAAGCGCTTGCTGGTTATCGACAATGGTTCGTACGAATGTCGCGTTGGTTGGCACGACACCAAGCAACCAGAGCTGCGCTTTCGCAATGTGCTCACAAAGCCACGCAAAGATAGGAAAAAGGACAATAGTCAACAAATACCGGATGCAGCAGCGATCCCGACTCCAACAGTGGATGAAATTCAAGTGGGCAATGACATATCAAATATTGAGGCAGTTCGCGCCCATCTGAAATCACCCTTTGAGCGCAACGTGATAACCAATTGGAATCATCAGGAGCAAATCTTCGATTACATCTTCAGCAAAATGGGTTTCGATGGTGACGATAGCATTAAGTATCCGATTGTGCTAACCGAAGCATTGGCCAATCCCAACATGTCTCGCCGGCAAATGAGTGAACTGCTCTTCGAATGCTACAATGTGCCTGCGGTGTCGTATGGCATCGATGCCCTCTACAGCTGGCGTCATCATCAGCAGATGCATAAGCAGGTGGCGGATGCACTCATCATATCGTTTGGCTATAGTACAACACATGTGATCCCAGTGCTGGGCGGCCGTATGCAGCTGGAGCATGTGCGTCGCTTGAATGTGGGTGGATTTCACATAAACAGCTATCTGTTTCGGCTGATGCAAATGAAGTATCCGGTGCATCTGAATGCCATCTCTAGTCGCATTGATAAACTGGTCCACGAGCACTGTCACATCGCTCTGGACTACAAGGAGGAGCTGCTCAAGTGGGCCCAGCTGGACTACTATGAGGCACACGTCATGAAGATTCAGCTGCCCTACAATCAGGTGACGGCCACCAATGCGCTCCTCACCGTCGAGCAGAAGCAGGAGAAACGACGGGAGCTGGCACTTCGATTACTGGACATTAAGAATCGACGCGAGCGCGAGAAGCTACAAGAGGATGAGGAGTACTTGCAGGTAAATTGCGAATTCATTCGAAGTTCATTGAAAATTTTTGTTTTTACGGCCACATTTGTTAATAATGATTGTGAAATGCATTCTTTCAGGTGCTGCGTAAGCTGCGACAGTTATATGACCAGCAGAATCTCCAGAAATTTGAACGTGCGCTGCAGCAGCAACAAATTGGCAACCTGGAAGAGCTGGACAAACTGATTGGGACGATAAGTGCGCGCATTAAACGCATCAAGGAACGGGCTGTGAGCGGCCCATCACGGCCCAGTAAGCAGCAGGACAAGTTGGACAAGATGCCCAAGCCGCCGGAGGGTGTGCCCCAGGCACAATGGCTGGCCGAAATGCGAGAGAAGCGTGAGGAGTTGCAGCGCCGAAAACAGGCACGTCAACAGCAGCGTCAGGAGCAAGCGAAACGGCATACACATGCGGCGCAGGAGCGGATGAGGATCATCTCGACGCTGGCGCGCAGCGAGAAGCGACGCAAGGCCAATGCGGAGGAGGAGGACGATGGCTTCGGCATGAACGATAACGATTGGGATGTGTACAAGCGCATCAATCGCTACAACGACGACAGCGACTCGGATGCCGAAAACGAACGTTTGCTCGAATACGAGAAGATCCTGCATCATTACGATGCCGGTTTCGATGATGCCAACAATGCTGCACTGCAGGCCCTAAGTGCCGCCGAGAACTATCAGTTGCACTTTGGCGTCGAGGAGATCCGTGTGCCGGAGATACTCTTCCAGCCGAGCATGATTGGCTGCACCGAGGCTGGTCTGGCGGAGCTCATTGCCTTTGTGCTCAAGCTCTTTACTGCCGAGGAGCAGCAGCGCCTGGTCTCGCATGTCTATCTAACTGGAAGCTGTGCACAATTTCGTGGCTTGAAGCAGAGATTGTCCAAGGAGCTGCTGGAACTGCGTCCATTTCAGTCCACCTTTGCCATCTATGAGTCACAGGATCCCACTTTGGCTGCCTGGCTGGGCGCCTGTCTGCTGGCAAGTGAACGAAACTTTGCCGAAACATCGTTGACCACACGACAGCAATACCAGGATCGTGGCAGTGAATATTTTCGCGAGCACAGAGCAAGCAATCTCTATTATCCTACACCAAAAGATTAGCCTTTATTGTAATAAGCATATATCCAAAATAAATGACCTAGATCTAAAAGAGTAACTCAGTTACATCGTTGCCAAACAGCAGATTCCACGACTTGGGCACGGTCAGCTTGAAGCTGGCATCGCCACCATCGCGCAGCTGGAGAAAATCCTCGCACAATTCGTTCAGTTCGCGCACAATCAGCGAGGCATCTGTGGAGTTGTCGCCCTCGAGCAGGTAGCGGAACAGAAGCATGACAGGCACCTGGCTCTCCTCAAAGGCCCTGAAAAGCTGGAGGCCATTGCCGCCGCCAAAGATGTTGTCGCCCGTGTGCTCCTTCCACTTGACCAGCGATGCATTGCCCAGCTGTGCGGCATGAGCCGACTTGAAATTATCGCTGGCACGATACGCCCACGGCGAATCCTCAATGACGCGTCTCTCGAAGCCAAAGCTGCCGCTCAGGACAACAACGCGACGCGCCGACTGCAGCAGCTCCACCAGTTTGTTTTGGAAACTCTTTGTGTGACGGGCAATCAGCGGTGCACGGAATTGAATGACCAGCAGCTTATCCTCGACGGATTCGTACAGCTCACATGATGCCACCCGCTCATTGGGCTCGTGCTGGTAGGCTGAGGGTCCATAGACTGGGATTAAAGCCGGATGAGCCAGGCTGCCGATGCGTTTCAGCTTTTTGGATGCAATCAACAGGTCGCAGGCCAATTGTGCTGCATTGCCTACACAAATGCTAGGTATAATGACCGTATAATTAGCCACATCGAGTGTTTTGGCTTTATTCTTAAGAAATAACATTTTGTGCTTGGTCCGAAAATTGAAATTCAACAAAAATATGAAAGTAATGTTGCAGTGTTGAAAAGCGACAGATAATGTAAAGCAACAGCTGCTAAGCGATGACTGTGTTATTTGAGTGTAAATTTAATTTGCATTATCATTCGCAATTTTTTGCCACAAACTGAACGCAGTTTGGAACACGTTTTTGAAATTTTTAAATGCTTTTTAAGCAGAAATTTTAATGATGTTTTGCCGTACTCAAAATAGCGCATCGATTCCGCATCACCCGGAGATGTTCCTAATTCACTTGTTTCACTCTCAGTCCACCTCTAGGAGTATTTGACATTCACTGCGAAAACGTAAACAAACCCAGTGACTCGCAATGAATGTGATATAACAATAAAAACAAGCTTCCTTTGTAAGAGTTAGCACTTAAAGCAAGCGATGCAGCATCATGGCTCGCAGCTGTGCCGTCAGCTAGCACGCTGCCTGCACACAGCGACCGCCCAATGGCAGCTCAGCCATTACGATGCCTTGGGCATTGACAAGCGTTGCACACAGAACGAGATCAAAGCGGCATATTACAAGTTGTCCATGATTTATCATCCAGATCGCAACAAGGGAAGTGAAAGTGCTGCCAAGAAGTTTCGTGAGATCAGTCAGGCCTATGAGGTCCTGGGCAACTATCGTCTGCGTCGCCTCTATGACAAAGGAATCGTGCACACGGCAGGTGCTCAATATGCGCAAGATATACGTGATATGGAGCAGGAGACGGTGGTCGAGGACGACCCGAAAACAAAGTTCTACAAGTCACGCTTTCAGAAATCAAAAGTTGCCGATTCCGAAGGACGGACGCCCATCTACGATTTTGATGAATGGAGCCGGGCGCACTATGGCAAGAATTTTGATAGACGACAGGCGGCTCAGGAGAAGCACGAACGTTTGCGGGTGCAAAAGGAACAAAGTAGAGTATCAGGCCAAAACGATTTGGTGATGTTTGCCATCATATTTGCAGGCTTAGCCATGTACCTGATGTTCCTCGCAGAGAGCTCATATGATACGCCCAAGCGCAAGGCAGAAGATCGTTACAAGAGGGATAAAGTGGAAGCAGCGACAATTACAAGAGCTGACAAAGTCTAGGAAATCGAAAAGAGTCTAGTTCAATTTAACTTAAGCTTAACTGTTTTAAATAAATACGCAAATTGTACATTAAACTATATATTTGGCCACATCATCAGAAGCGTCCGCTGCGCTTGCGTGCTGTGTACTTGGTGTCCGGACGCGTCTCGAGGCCTTGGCGACGGCGACGCTCTTTTTTAGCCAGAATCCAATCGCGCGATTTTTTGGGCGCTTTGCCACGCGCTTCGCGGCAAGCATCGCGCTTTTTTATATAGTTAATGCGACGTTCTTCCTCCGCCGAGCCTGGAATAGAAGTGAAACAAAATATTTAATTATGGGCATCAGACCATAATATCCCTTAAATAACGGTATATGTTCATTTAATCGTCGAAATAACTTACCCAAACCTTGTGGCAGTTCCGCAGCGCCACCCGTCATCAGCACCAGGTAGTATTTCTTGGCCTTGGCCGAGTTGGGATAGTCCACGACCAGGCCGCCATAAAAGCCGGCCTTCATGGCCTGCGCTGTGATCATTTCAATCTGATCCGAGTTCTCCGGGTAGAACTGAAAGATAGCGCGAGCTGTGCGAGTCAGGCAGGAGAACAATGTACTAAAGAATTTCAAGAGGCGCTTGTGTGGATTGTGATAGGATTTGTCGGCATTGCAGAGCCATTGTAGAGCCGATATGGAGATGGCGCCATCGAAGGTGCCCGGCTTGAAGGGCATTCCCTCGCCCATGTCGCCCAGTATAACGTCACCGGCTACCTCGCGCTCCACCGCTATGTCCAACATGGATTTGGATATATCAATACCAATCCACATGTGATCGCTGTCCTCGAGAACGCTGCCCGACAGTCCGGAGCCGCAGCCAATGTCCAAAATGAAGCGAGGTTCATCATCATCAGGCAGCGCAAGCAGCTCCAAGGCGCGCTCTGCCATTTCCACCTGGATCTCTATTATGCGTGTGCTAAAAGAAAGCAAATAAATAAGGGCCCACAAGTAAACAAAAAAGCAAACAAGTACTTTGTGGAATATTTCTTCGCTTCATCGTCGTTGTAGAACTATAAAACAAAAGAAATTCATGAAAACCTGATTAACCTGATTGATTACAATTCACTTACTATTTCTGGTGGTGCTGAGTGCTCTGGTCTTCTAGCCATTTTACTATATAAAATCTGATTTAAACGCTGTACAAATTAGGAGTATAAATGTTAAATAAAACCAAACATTGCAACACGTGCAATCTAATTTTATCGATGTTTATGCTATACAAAACAGCTGTTCGTTGCTAAATGTCGTGATTACTATCGTTTTGCCTAGCAACGATTATGGGGCCAGTTATCGATTTGACGCATACACAAACACATATCAACGCGTAGTGGAATCTGCTTAAAATTCAGTGAAAATTGTAATTATTGGTTTCAGTTGAAACCATTAAACATGTGATAGTTGCTTCTTACGTGTAGAAGTGAATACGCAAACTGTAAATCGGTGAGTTTGGCAAACAATATTCTAAGAAACTAAATGCAATGCAAACATTTGTGAATGCAAGCAACGCAACACACAGCGACGAGTGTATGTGTTTTGTGTAGGCGTATGTGTGTGATTGTGGGTGTGGGTGCTCCGCTGTCACTTCAGACTGTGACAACACGACACGACACCAATAATTATTGTTTTTAGTGCTTACGCGAATGTCTATTCACATTCACATTTAATTCTGTTGATTCCGTTAGAAAATGTCTGTATGTGTGGTTAATGTCTGGCGCAAAGTTCTCTCCCCAATCATGTAGAATTTTTGTGCCGTTTCGCTTATCCGTTATATTCTGCCGGCTTATTGACTGCGGCCTGGTGGCCTGTTTACCTTGTGCTATTTCTTTTTGTGGGCTTGAGAAAGCGAAAACACTGCCTAGACATGAAGCAGAATAACAACAACAGTGTCTGCCTCGGTGGGTACAACAGGTTTGTGCTATCTCGCTCTTTTTCACTCTCTGATTGTCAATCCATAGTCGGTGCTGTCGATTACAGTGATCGATAACGCACGCAAATGTAATTATCAGTAGCTGCCCAACCATGCAGTTCACCTCAAACTGCATTTTGATGTAATGCGTTTTTATTTTCTTTTGTGATTGCGTTATATTGCCGAAAATTCAGGTTTATTTGTTTGCATCTTATGAATATTAAAGTGGTACACTCGCCCAAGCCCAAACTGGTTTATGGCTCACACTTAAATATCTTTTACTCTTTCCAAGAACAACGCTTGAGGACAACGCCGATTATCAAAAAAAAAAAATAATTTGACGCAACACAAATGCGGTCGCTGGCCTTTGTTTAACAAGTTTGCCACCAAAAATAAAAAATCCAACAAAAGCTAAACAATAAACTAAAGGGTGCACGAGTGCGAAATACTCTGCAAAAGATTTTTGGCAGGGCATCAACCCATAAAATTCTCGAGTCGAACGTATTTCTACAAGAAATCGTTAAAGATTAAAAAGCTAACGATAAAAATATTTTCTGAGTAATTTGCACAACTAGAAAAAATAATTATATTTTTATTCAATGAATAAGTTGTGAATAAATTGTATATTATTAACTTATTTTTCTTTTGAAACGATATTTGTCCTATAACGTTAATGTTGAAGGCTTCTGCAAATAGTTGGAATTAATTTGCTGTATTCTACACGTAACACATAGTTGCATAGTTGCCACCCTTTTATATAGCTTATGGCTACAGGGTATTCGACGGAAAAAACTTAAGCCGAGCATCCAATTCGAAAAACCAGCTTCAGTATCTAAATATTCTTTGCTGTCGTCTGCCAACTTTCAGTTACCAAACTGTCTTTCTGCAGCGCAAATCGTTTCACAAAAAACCACCGACTAAATATAAAATCATTGGTGAAATGCGCAGTTGGTTTCGATGGAAATTTGTGCTGTTGGAACTGTTGCTGCTGCTCGGGCTGCTTTCGCCTGGCCAGTCGGCCAATTTGCTAAACAGTTATCTGCCCGCCTCCATGCAGGCACTGGCCTACTACATTGATCTACTGCAATATGAACCGTTGTCCAGCACTACCGCAGAGCCGCCGTTCAGTGCTGACGGCCAGCCATATGTGAGCACCACACCCCTGACACCCACACGCCCACCGCCCTCTAGCTGGCTTTCCAGCACCAGGCCTACTGCTCGACCCAGCATCAGCACCACCACCACGAGAAGAAGCACAACGAAGAGACCGATGGGCAGCACCACTAGTTGGTGGCAACCGCCCAGTTGGTGGGAGACGCCACACCGCACATCTACCACCTCCAGGCCGACAGGGAAGCCCACACGACCCCACGGACCCGCCCTCTTTGCACCAGCTGCAAAAGTCAAGCAGGTGGGAGTGCCACTGGAGGGAGAGGCGCTCTTCAATGAGATCACAGAAGATTCCGATTTTGACAAGCTGCCATTTTCGCTAATCAAGGACATACAAACGGAGACACTGCACGATGACTTCACCAACGATGTGGAATCGCTGGATAACTTTTTGCGGCTCTACGATGATAATTATGGGCGTGCTGCCTTTGACTTTGAATCAGCCATGGATCGCTGGAGCAGCACATCGACGGCGGGCAAGAAACGTGTGCCGCCCACCAAACCCTATGTGGACTTTCTGCTCGTCTACGATCTGCTCAAGCGCGACGCGAAGGCGGCCAATTTGAGCAAATACGAAGGCTACTCGGAGGAGATGCTGCATCAGCTATTTGAGTTATCGAATGCCTCGTCGACGCGGCAGCTGCACACACTCTTCCATCGCATGCTAGAGCGTGGCGATATCCAGCGCAGCGATGTTGTTGCCCGTGTGCAGGGCATTCTCAAGGATCTTGGTAATCCGAATAGTGCCACTTCCAAGGCGCTCATCCATATACCCAGTATGCAGTTTTTGCCCTAGTTCTTAAGTCGACATTTTTTTGTCCACAAATCCAACACACATAATAAATTCTAATTCATAAACTATTCAATTTTAAGCGGCCGTTTGACACATTGACACAGTTTGACCTGCCCGCCCACAAACTTCGATTGGCGTGTGCGTGTGTAAGTCTGTCTAAGTTATCGATAACGACTTGCCAATTTTGTTGCAGGCGTTTGTTAACAGCTGTGACGACGTCATCATTACAACTTGCCCACACACACACACACGCATGCACACATATTACCAAGCGCAAGAGAGTGATGCGCTCTTAGCTGCTCTCTTTTTCGTTAACTTCTTGCCAGCAGCTTGTGAGTCGCTTGTGCCTAAAGATTTTATTAATTAACAGATTACGCATGAAATCAAAGCGAATAATGTCACGAAGATGTGAATAATAGGAATCTGCTGAGTCAGAAAGAAGAATCAAAATACAAAAAATAGAGCAAAATGAATTTCGAGTATATTTTACTACAAGCCAAAATTTATGAATGATGGATGAATTTTTATGATACATACAAAATTATTAGTAAAAATTATTTATTACTAATGAACAATTGTGAATTAAAGCACATATTTTATTATACGCATACATCAACCGGTTCTTCAAAACTCGAGCTATTTTGCATCATTATTTATATGTTAATGTGAATGGAGCGTGTGACGTCACACACTTGTTCGCCTAATAGCGCGCAACATCCCGCAATTCTCTGTGAGCCATGACGCTGGTGCCGTTATGGTTGGCGTTGACTTAGCCGCTCTCTGCTACTGCTGCTGCTGCTGCTTGCTTCCAGTTGCCGTTTGTATTTGGTGCGCGTAGCAAGTGCCGTGTTTCACATTGTTGCCTCCAATTTATTTTCATCACAAATACACATATTGAATTTTGTTGCAATCACTTTGCACATAATAAACGACAACAATTAAAACTAATAAAAGCAAATTGGACAAACTTAATGCTAATGGTTATCCAAAGAGTTGTGTTTTTCAAAATTATTTGCAATGCTTGCCTGAATGTGGCATGAAAAAACTTATCGATTTGTGTGAAAGTTGCAAGCGGCAACGCAGCTCACAATAATTGGGCATAATAAAGAAGCAAAAGAAAGTTTCCCAAATCAAAAGTCTAAAGTTGTGAATGCACAATGGAAAACTTAAACTTTGCACGCACACCGCAATTTCTGCGCAAAGTCATCAACGAGGCGCGCAGGTAAATAAATCTGGCTGCAACAGACAAAAACAAATGCAGAAACCACCACCAACACAATAACAACAAGCGGCAGACTGTACGGAACGGAACGGGACACGCGACCAGCAATGGGATGAAATTATTTTTGTTGGGGTGGTGGTCTGGTCTATGTCGAGATTTTCATGGCTCGGATGTTGTCTGCTGTCTGTGCTGCAGTTCTAGGTGGTTTTTTTTTTTTGTTCCTTCCTTTTTGGTTAGTAGTTGTTATTGCTGCACCTTACAGGTTTTACTTGTTTCCTTTTACGCTCAACTGACTCCCAACCACATGACTCAACTGCAGAGCGAGCGAGCGAGAGAGGGTGACAGAGGGGATGTGGGGAACTCTTACAGTTGCAAGGCGTCTTATGTAACTCGAGCTTTGCCAACGTCAATTGTTCTGCATGGATTTGATTTTTTCTTTCTTTCGTTTTTTTGTTTTTTTTTTTGTGTTTGCAAGAAACGCGCCACTCGAGCGCCAACCGCGAACAAAAGCCCCGAACAATCCTTTCGACCCTTAGAGCCCATTGTGTTGCATGCAGCAGTCATACATAGTCGTAACAATTGCCCCACAGCCGGCGAACATATAATTTTAAACACCACACAAGACAAAGAGGTTGACCCGTTTCATGTCTTTGTTTTGGGCGAACACCCTCTCATAACTTGGCTCCTCTTGACTTTTTGTATGCATGTGTGTGTGTGAGTGTATATATAGGATATATACTATGTATGTCAACTGCTTTGCTTTTTATCGCGCCCAAGGCGACAGCATGCACTTATCATTGAATGTGCGTCTCTCGCTCTTTCTTTCCCTCCTCTGCTTATGGGCTACAGCTTCCCGTTATGTTTGTGCAATACAATATTTAGTAAGAGTCATCGTATTTATTTAACCCTTGCGTATATGTGTATATACATGTGTGTGTATGTGTTTGTATGTGTCTGATGCATAACACTTTCAATTGAAAAGCTAGTCCAGCAGCCGGTGCGACCTTCTAATTTTTGTAGATTCGCCAGTTGGCAGGCCCAAGGTCAATGGCAATAGCAGAGGCTGCAAGTTATCGATAAAACAGCCAATGAAAACTGATCACACAGATGTTGCAAAATAACTGTAGTGTCTAGAAAGAGAGAGAGAGAGAGAGAGAGGTGAGCTTTTAAAAAGAGAGTGATGACTGTTTATCATCATTCCCACGCCACATCTGCACACATGGAATGACACATACATATATATATATATATATATATATATATAATATATATATATATACATGCCTTCGTACAAGTGTTTTAATTAATAATGAACATTCCATTCGCATTGCAGATCATTTATACATAGTGACGACACCGCAACCGCCAAAGCGGTAGCAGAAGACGCAACAGTAGCAGCACCACACGACGAAATGGAGCTCGCCCACAGCTTGACACTCAACGAGGAGGCACTCAAACAGCTGCCGGAACACAAGCGTGCCGTTTTCGAATTGGAATGGTTACGGTATCTGGAGAAATCTCTGCCGCACATGCCCAAGCATGAGATCAAGACCGGACAGAAGAAACTCGTGCAGCAGCTCTCGGAGCGCATACAGGGTGCACCGGGTCCGCCCATGCGTAAACTAATTGCCAGCGCCTTGGCCACTCTGTTCTCCGTGGGCGACACCTTTATGCTCTTCGATACGGTCAATGCCTGCAATGACATATTGAAGAACAAAGATGACTCGCCCAGCTATTTGCCCACAAAGCTGTAAGTAGAGTTGAACACTATGGAAGACTCACCCTCGGGCTACCGAAGACTCAATACCCATGCAGACTTATTCCCTAACACACCTTTTATGCTATTGTTTATAGAGCAGCTTTAAGATAATATCTCTCGAAATGGGCGACTTTTATTCCGATATCTCCAAAACCTATAAAGTATTTCTTCCAAGATGTTTAATTTTGAAAGATTGCTCTTGTGAAATTAGCCCGATGTTGACCAAAAATTAAATTCAGCTCGACACAAACTCTTATACAACCTGTAGACATAGTTTCTCCTATAGGCTTCAAAAAATGTGGGATTACCTTGCGTAGAAGTGTAGATAGGCGAAGAAATTTATATTTTTGAAGATTCGGAGATGTCTTCTCCTTCTCGAAGCTTAGAATATCCTCATAGATCATGCAATCGAATGCAGCTCATCCAATTCTCTCGCTTACAGCGCTGCGATTTGCGTGCTGGGCTCCATGTACGAGAAACTGGGACGCATGATGGGTCGCACCTACGAGGACACCGTGCAAATCCTAATACGCACGCTTAGGAATGCCGAATCACAGGCACGCATCGAGATAATGCACACGCTGGAGAAAGTTAGCGCTGGCATGGGCACCGCCATTTCCAATGTACACAAGGACATATACAAGGCGGCCAAGCATTGCCTGTTGGATCGGGTGATGGCTGTACGCGTTGCCGCCGCTCGCTGCATACTCAAGATGATATACAGCGCCCCGTTCCTATACCAAACGGAACTGGAGAATCTGGGTACGCTGTGCTTTCGTGCCTTCGACGGCAGCAATTATGAGGTGCGTTGCGCAGTTGCCCAGCTGCTGGGCACGCTGCTCGCCTACACCCAACAGTTGGCCGAGGCGGCGAACAACAAGAAAGCCGCCCAAGCGCCCGCAGCAGCCGCACTCCAGGCAGCTAAGGGCGGCACCTTGCGCCTGGTCTCACTGGACGAAGCGCTGGGCATACTGATGTCGGGCTTTTTGCGTGGCGGCGCCTCCTTCCTCAAGGGCACCGGCGAGATCATCAAGGGCAGCTCGGGCGTAAACCGGGAGGTGCGCGTCGGTGTTACCCATGCCTATGTGGTCTTTGTACAGTTCATGGGCAGCGTTTGGCTGGAGCGACAGCTGAGCACATTTCTGGCCCATGTGCTGGATCTGGTAGCGAATCCGAAAGCGGCCTGCTCCCATGTGGATGCCGTCTATTCGCGCAAGTGCATCAACTTTATACTGCGTTCCACCATTGGCAAAATGCTGGGTGAGAAGGCGCAAAGCGCCGCCTGCAAGGAACTCATCCATCTGGTGGCCAAGCAAATGAACTCCATTGATTTTAATCCGGAGAATGCCAAGGACTCGAACCAGGAAACACTCTTCAGTCAGCATTTGTTAGTCTGTGCGCTGCAGGAGCTGAGCTCCCTGTTTATAGGCCTGGGCACAACGGCACAGCAATTGCTCACAGATCAATCGCTGAATGCCATCGACGCCACCTGTGCGGTGCTGGTGCATCCGTGTGCCGCGGCACGTCTGGCTGCTGCTTGGTGCCTGCGCAGCTGCTGCATTGCGGTGCCCAGCCAGATAACGCCGCTGATCGATCGTTTTATTGAAGCACTGGAACAGATGCGCTCCTCACCGGAGGCTATTGCCGGCTATAGCTGCGCCTTGGCGGCCATTTTGGGTAGCGCACGGCATTCACCCTTGGGCATACCGCACACCAAGGGCAAGGTGGTGTTCAACTGTGCCGAGGAGCTGTTGCGCTCCGCTTCCCAGAATAGCCGCATGTCGCTGCATCGAACCCAGGCGGGCTGGTTGCTAATTGGCGCCATCATGACGCTCGGCTCGCCGGTGGTTAAGGGCCTCTTGCCGCGTATGCTGCTACTCTGGCGCAACTCCTTTCCGCGCTCCAACAAGGAGCTCGAATCGGAGAAGGCGCGTGGCGATGCCTTCACCTGGCAGGTAACACTGGAGGGACGCGCGGGCGCCTTATCTGTCATGCATAGTTTCCTCCTCAATTGCCCGGATCTAGTCAACGAGGACATAACGCGACGCCTACTCACACCCATTGAGAGCGCCCTGGCCATGCTGGTCAAGTGAGTTCACTTCATCCAACCGTTCAGAATCCTTCGTTTAAGTTTAATTAATATCTGTCTATCTGCTTACAGCTTGGCTACTGTCCTCAAGAGCTATGGCACCCAACTTAAAGCTCCAGCTGCCATGGTGCGTTTGCGTCTCTTTGAAACGTTGACTCTACTGCCGCCCACTGCTCTGGAGGCATCCTACACGCATCTCTTGCGCATGCTCGTCTCGGAGTTCACCTTGTCGGATAATGCAGCCAACACAACGAATTCTCTGCTGCGTACTCTTTGCCATGGCGATGATTCCATCATTCTGGGCACTTGGCTGCAGGAGACCAATCATCGCACCATTGAGGATCAGGTGTGTTTACAACCCAATTAGCTAGGCTCTGGGTGGTTGTCATAGTTTTTTTTTTTTTTTTTGTGAAGTGTACAAACTATAACACGTAACCAAATCTATCTTCTACCTCTTAAACTATTTCCCAAACTATTCACACACGTTTAACCAGATGGAGCCCAATCGCAAAGTCGATGGCGAGCATGTAAGTGTTGTCCCAACGTGTCCATAACTGATGAGATTCTTGATTTCTCGTTGACAATTCCTGTTTGCATGCACAATGAATCTTTATGAGTAGGTTTTTCAATATTGGACTCCTTGCTATTTGTATATATATTATTGTTAAATTGTTTATGTTTAAATCATTAGATTTAAGTAGATGAATCTCTCGTTTTAATTTCGTACTAATTTACTTTCTAAGCAGGCAAATTACTGTTGGTCTGATTTATAGTTTTGCGAGTGGCCTTGCTGCTGAATTTCTTGCTTTTTTTTTTTACATATTTTAAAAAATGTACAAGAGCTAGCGAAAGAAGGGAATTTTGAATATATCTACGTTGTATACCCTGGTTTCCTGGATTTGAGTTTGCATGCACAATATTTACTCATAGCTGAAGAGGACAGTAGCTGTTGCTACATTTTTTTTACATTTCTTACACTAAGCTAAGCTTTGCGTTTATTATTATTTGTTACGCTTTGGTTCTTATTACTCGTTCCCTAAGTTCAATTTAATTGCTTAACCATTGCTAATAAGTTATTCACCTTCCCTTATGCTATGCACAGCTTCAGCCGAATAGCGCTGCTGGTTCCGGCGCCTTGGAGCATGATCCCTGCTGCCTCTATCGACCCAACTGGTCGGCACAGTACAACAGCAATGCAATCAATCCAAGCAATGCGAGCAACAACAACATACAGCTGATTAACAGAGCACAACAATGCCCAGGACCGTTGCCGCTGGGCGTGGCCGTTATTGACATGGCCGTATCGCTGTATGGCACCATATTCCCCAAGGTGGCCAACAAGCATCGTCTCCAGATGCTGGACCATTTCGCCGAGTGCATTAAGCAGGCGAAGAGCAATCGCCAGGAGGCTGTACAAATGAACATATTCACAGCGCTCCTCTACGCACTCAAACAGCTGACGGACAGCAAGACGAGTCTTGGCCAGGAGGATGTGAAGAAGAGTGCAACGAATCTGATTGTCGCCTCGCTGACCAGCGCCAATTCCACAATACGCTGTGCTGCTGGCGAAGCCCTGGGCAGATTGGCTCAAGTTGTTGCCGATTCGCATTTTACAGCCGAATTGGCTCAAAACAGTTTCGACAAGCTGAAGTCGGCGCGGGATGTGGTCACACGGACTGGACACTCGCACGCCCTGGGCTGTCTGCATCGCTATGTGGGCGGCATGGGCAGTTCGCAGCATTTGAGCACAAGTGTGTCCATATTGCTGGCCTTGGGTCAGGACAGTGCCTCGCCGGTAGTGCAGGTATGGTCGCTCTATGCGCTAGCACAGATTGCCGACTCCGGTGGCCCCATGTTCCGTGGCTATGTGGAGGCAACGCTGACGCTGTCACTGAAACTGTTGCTCACTGTGCCCCATGCTCATGTGGATGTGCATCAGTGTGTGGGTCGTGTGGTCAATGCTTTGATTACGACCGTCGGACCCGAGCTCCAAGGCAACAATACAGCGGTGAGTGCGATGCGCAGCTCCTTCCTGTGCGCAGCGGCGCTGCTCCAGGCACACGCGGATCCCTTGGTTCAGGCGGAGGCAATTGGTTGTCTACAGCAACTGCATTTATTTGCCTGCAAATCGCTGCAGTTGGACACGCTCGTACCCACGCTGGTCAAGATGCTGGCCAGCAATTATTTTATTCTACGCAAAGCGGCCGTCGCATGCTTGAGGCAATTGGCGCATCGTGAGGCACGCGAGGTATGCGAACTGGCGCTGACCATTACGCCAGAGCAGTGTCCGGATCTGGTTATCACGGAGTACGGGTTGCCGGGCTTGCTCTTCTCCATGCTGGACACGGAAACGGATGCGGAGATGCTCAAGAATATCCACGACACATTGACATCCATGCTGCAAATGCTGGCTGCCGACAATCTAAGCAGCTGGTTGAGTCTCTGCAAGAAGGTGCTCACCGTAGCCGTCGAGAGTGGCATTTCCAGCGAGGAGCAGGCAAATCTAGTTGGAGCAACAGATACAGCCAGCAAATCTGGCGCTGGCGAACAACAACAAACCGATGACGATGATGATGAGGATGAGGACTATGCCGACGATGTGACCGAATATCGGGCCGAGGAGAACACCTCCACGCATCCCGCAGTGCAGCCGCGTTGGCCCACACGCGTCTTTGCCTCGCAATGCGTCCGGCGCATAATCGCCAGCTGCGAGGCGGCCAATGCGCTCCATTTCGATTTGCTGCAGGCCAAGGAGCAGCAGCTAATCAAGTCACGCAGCGGCGATTATCTCATCTTGCATCTCGCCGAACTCATACGCATGTCCTTTATGGCAGCCACCTCGGATTCGGATCAGCTGCGACTGGAGGGTTTGCGCACTCTACAGGAGATCATCGATCGTTTCGCTAATGTGCCGGAGCCCGAGTTTCCTGGCCATTTGCTGTTGGAACAGTATCAGGCACAGGTGGGCGCCGCACTTCGTCCGGCCTTTGCGACGGACACACCTTCGCATGTCACGGCAGCCGCCTGTGAGGTGTGCTCCGCCTGGATTGGCTCTGGTGTGGCACGCGATATCAGTGATTTGAGACGCGTGCATCAGCTGCTGGTCAGCTCACTGAACAAGCTCTGCACGCAGACGAACAGCACGCAGCTGTATAACGAGTCGATGGCAACGCTTGAGAAGCTCAGCATACTCAAGGCCTGGGCGGAGGTCTATATTGTGGCCATGCTGGGCAATGGCAAGGCGCCCGCCTCTCTGCTAACCATGACGCCAGCTGGTGCGGGCGGTACAGAGTTAGTCAGTGGCTTGGAACTGATGGACACAGATAATCGTGGCGAGAGTTTGCTCGGCCTGGTGCAGCCAGAGTTGCATAATCTCTCCAATCATTGGCTTGCGGCTATGAAGGATCATGCCCTGTTGCTGCTACCCCCAGAGTTCCAGTCGCAATTGCCAAGAGATGGTGGCTCCTTTTACACCACGGACACCATCAACTCCTCGAAGCCACACTATATGACCAGCTGGCCGCCAATACTCTATGCCGCTGCGCTCTGGCTGCGCGACGAGGGCTTTGCCAGGCATCAGGATACGCAAACGCAAGTTGAGGCCAGCAGCAGCCAACCCGAACCGGAATCGAATAATAATCATATAACGCATGGTTCACTATCGGCGGATCGGTTCCATATGATCTTTGGCATATGCATGGAGGCGCTGTGCAGCATGCGCAGCTCGGATAAGCCCAGGAATATTGTAAGTTGCTTGCGTGCGCTGCACAGCATCTTTGATTCGGATTGGGCGCGACGCCAGCTGATCAAGGATCGTGCACTCACCATCGAGCTGTGTCATGTGCTCCATCGCCAGATACTCACACGGGATGAGCTGCTCGTCCAGCTGCTCTGTGTGGAGATACTGAAGCAGACAATTCAGGCGGCACGAGAGGATTTGGAACGAAAACGCGCGACCACTGACAATGCCACTGAGAATGAGAATCGAAATGAGAGTGATGAGAATGTGGAACTGGGCGAGGGCAGCGTCATGCAGCCGGGTAGCTCCCATGTCTATGCCGTGCTGGAGGTCTGCCTGTGTCTCTTTGTGCGCCAAATACCTAGCCTGAATCCCAGCAAACAGTGCAATCTGCAGATGGACTATGCGTATGCCCGAAATGCATCCTTCTTTTCGGTCCTGGGTGATGACAATGGCCGTTTGGTGGCCATTGGTTTGCAGTGTGTCGAACAGCTGTTGGAGCTGTGCACGCCCAGCGGCGCCTTGACCATACTGCCCACCATACTCTACATGACGACGAGCATCATTCGCGAGATAGCCAACAAATCGGCCATCGATACCAGCATTCTGGCCAACACCTGTGCCGTCCAAGCAGCCCTCCAATGCCTGCGCTCTGTCTGTGTGCATCGCTGGGCGCAGCAGCCAAACACCATGGAGGATTGGCAACAGCTGCTGCAGAGCGCCCTGGCCACCATCATTGACATGACCAAAACGGCTGGCGACAATGAGGAGTCCAAGGTCGATGAGGTCACCATGCTGCTGGCCATTGCTGTTTTCATACTGAACACACCCGCCTCTGTGGTGGCTGCACCCTCGTTGCAATATCCGTGCATCAATCATTTCCGACAGTGCCTGCAGTCGGAGCATTTGTCGGTGAAACTAAAGTGCATCGAGACGACACGTTCCATTTTCACCAAAGCCGATCTGAAGGCTGCCACGCCCTATATTCATGCATTGGCGCCGCGCATCATCGAATCGCTGTACGCCGAGTCCAGTAAGACGCCAGCCAGCGACCTGGAACTGCAGGTGACCCTCGAGAGCATTGTGACCGTGGAGCAGCTAATTGAGCTTGCCGAGCCGCAGCATCGTAAGTAGCAGCCAAATACAGTTATACCCACTCTCAGGTCTATTCCGAATTGGCGCAGAAACTTATAGAAAGAAATAAGGCTTCCTCAAACTGTATAAAAACTAGTATGCTACGTTTTTTTCATCGGGCTAAGGTTTAAATATTTTACAAGGCAGGATTTTAGCCACATGACTTTAAACATTAAATCAATTGTTCTGAAGTCAACAAATTTTCCTTCTAAAAAAAAATCTCGCTAAAAAAAAATTGATAAAGTAAAAAAAAAATCAAAATAAAATAAATTCAATGTTAAGCTGAATAAAATTTCTTTAATGTTCCGCATTAAATATAATTACATTAACGAAAGCTACAGAAATGTACTTAAATATTAAATTTCTGTAAAAATCGTGTGCGAAATTCGGAACAGACCTATTGAAATGCGCAACTAGTGCGATCCTTTTTAACCCCTTACATAACACTGTCCGTTTTGAAATAGTGAACAGCGCTGCCAACTTGGCACATAACTTGTAAGCGTCGTCAAATAGTACAGTTTTTTCTTATATTCTGCTCTTGTTCTCTTCGTCTCTTCTCTTTTAACTGCTTTTACTCATTCATTTATCACACACACAAATTAAAAAAAAAAACAAAAAAACAAATCGTTAGGAAACTTGCTACAAGGTAAATAGATGCATTCACCAAAAAACCAATGTACATTCACATAATTCTTTGTTGCACTCGCAATATGCACAAAAGCACATAAAACACAATTTGTATACGTAATAATAAATAACAATTCTTTGTAGTCATAGTTGTAGCTGCAAAATATAGCGTTGGCTTTAAATGTCGTTACACATCGCATGCAAATTATCGATTGCTGTTATCGATACACAACACAGCGTAAAAATGCACCGTTAATTGTGTGTTGTCATTTGCCCATGACTTGTTTTTAATATCAATATTTCTTCGCACTCTTCCCAGATATACAAATGCTAACGCTGCTGGTGCCGGTACTCATTGCCTACCTGGCCGAGCCGAGCAAGTTGCGCACGCTGCCCAAATATCAGCGTCAGCTGCACGAACAGGCACTGCACTGGCTGCTCAAGATTGGACCGAAATATCCGCAGGAATTCAAGGCGTTGATGTGCCAAAAGCCGGAACTGCGCCAGAAACTGGAGGCAGCCATACGCAGCCAACAGCAGTCAATTAATCTCGCCCAAAAGGCCAGCGAGGCGCAACGCAACGGTTTGCTGTCCAAACCGCAAAAGCCGACGATCAAACTGAAAACGGATTTTAGTAACTTCCAATAAGTTAAACCATTTACACCATTAAAATATATTTATACATATACATATATATATATTTATAGCTATTTAATCCTGCTAATAGCGTGATTAACTAGAGCCTGCTAAAAGAAAAATGCTTGCAATTTACGAAGTTTGCATTTTTTTTTGCTATGAACTTAGTGAGTACCTAAAGAATCTACCCCGCATAAATACGTATATAAAATATAAGGGGTATTTCCACACGACTATCGATAATGTTGGGAATGCGCCGTATTGTTAGTTATTCTTATTATTATTATTATTATATACATATAAACACGTACATAAAAACGATATTAGTTATTATTAAAATTATTTAAATCAAAGTGTTGTACCTTGTACCTTGTAGACACAGTGACTCCAATGTCAGTCATGTTTCCAATTGACAAATTAATGAGAATTTCATGAGTAATAATTTTTTAAATAATTGTATGAAATAATTCATCCCTGGACAATTTAATCCGAGTGTATTTGGTTTTCCTCCTTAAGGTCAGTTGGTTCAGATTTCGTCCGATTCAAATCTTCAAATTGCTTGCGCGCTACTTCTACGGGAGTCAGGCCACTATGGTGTGTGTTTGGTTGAGTCTCCTGCTCTGGCGACCGTTGCCTTAGCGGTATGGTCTCTGCAAAGTCGACACTTACAGTTGGACGTGGCAGTTTCATTAATGCAGCCGGCAGCTCCTCGAACAGCGTTGTGTCCAGTCGGCTCAGCTGAGTAGTGCGATAGAAAAGAGTCCGTAAGCGTTGCCGGAACAACTGAACCGCTGGTTGCGATTCATCGTAGCTGATCGCTGGTTTCAATGCGGTCGCAGAATCGGCATCATTGCTACATTGCCCTGACAATATGCATATGGCCCGAAAGCCCATCATCGTTGACCAATTCGGCGGCAGCAATTGCGTAGACGATTCACTTACTTCGCGCGCAGGCAATTGACACAGCATTTTGTTAAATAAGCTACACAGCTGACTGGGCAGACAAACGCTTTGGATCATATTGACCTTATTTGCGGGTGGCTGGAAGCGCAGCGCATTAGCTACTGTGTGCAAATTACGTTCGTTGAGGGGCAGTGGTATTGGGGCCGCTGGCGATCGTAGATTGAGATTATAGGCATACTTGAAGTATTCATAAGTGGTGAGGACCTTGTCACTTAATGACTGCTTGCTTCTTGACTTCTGGACCGGTGGGCTATTGAGCATTGAGTCCGGATCGGCTTGCCATTGATGGAGACATTGCTCCCAATTGTCGGCGGTAACGGAAGCACTTTTATGCACCTTGCGACGTGGAATATCCGCCACCGTTGCATCTGGATGCTGCTCCATAAAACGCTGGATGACCATAGAGCGTGTGCGACAGCTGGTGCGCGAATGATTGCCCAAATGATTGGCACAATTCACCCACTGCGCGGTGCCATGTGCTTCAACGAAAGCAATCAGTTTCATATCATCACTCACCGACCACGAATCAGTCTTATGACGCTGCGCCAGCACATTGTTATAGCGTGTACGCAGCTGGACCATCGAGCGATTGGGGAAGAGCGTTCGTGGAATGCAATTAAATTTGCCATCGTATTCCTCAACGGCAGCAAACAGCATCACATCCTCTTTTTGGGTGAAGGGTTCTGAAGAATAAATGAATTACAAATTAATTACTATCTTTGATATATATGTTAAACAAATAAAAAATTAAACCTTACGTTATAAGGTTTGTGGATAGTCAAAATATTTGATCAGGATTTGTTTGCAAACAAAAGAGATGTTCATACAATATTTATCCTATAGGAACACTTACCGTGACTGATGCTGGGATGCAGAACATACAAATAGCGACCAATTAATGTGGATCGCGATCTGTTCGGAAACTGCTCGGCCACTTGAGACCAGTTAACAACGCCGTTAACCGTATTCTTTAAAACAATTGCCCGCAAACGTTCGCTATCCTGCTGACCCCATTTCATGGAGCTGGTTGGCTCCAGTTTACAGCGCAGCGCTGTCTGCATGCGCACAAAGCACTGATAGGCGGATCGCCGGTCCACCTTAGCCGCAATGGCTTCCCAATTTTGCATCTTGTGGTCCTTAGCGGCCACCAGCAAAATCTGATCTTCCTTGGCAGTCCATTCTTCACGCTTGACTTGCGGCTGCAAATACACAAGCCACATGGCCTCACAGCTGTACGACGAATGACGATGCTCCAGATCGAGTGTGCTGATCTGGTTCCAGTCAATGCTGAAGCTGCTGTCGGCCACTTTCAGCAAATTAGCCAGCGATTGCTCATGCAGATCGATGGCTTTACGTTTGCGCCACTTCTTGCCAACGGTTTGGACTTCAGTCGCTGTGTAGGCGGCATGATCCAACAGCTGCAAACGTAAATAAACGGATTGAGTAACTTGATGTACATAGGTACTTTAAATTCCATTTACCTGCTGCTTAACACCCATTACAATGTTTTTCTTGTCCATCACCGTCCAGACGTGCTTGGAGTGCATGTCGAAATCGGTGGGAAACATTTCGTTTCTGCAGCGCCGCTCATAGTCCTCATTGTTGGGACAACTTCGTCCATCTACATCGCGAAAATATAAATTACCCTTAAATCGAAACGTTCCACCGCGCAGCACAGCTCCACTCATTCCGACGATTTCATCGCTGCCCGCCACTCGTGCGTTGTAAGATCGCGTCTTCTGGCGGCTTATAAGTATCTGCTCGTTCCGTTCATAACGAGCACGGACTATCCGCTGCAGCTCCAGAATACGTTGACGTATCTGTTCGAGACGCCGCTGCAGATCCTGATTCAATTTCAAGGGGTCTGCATCGCTTTCAGCTGTGGTAGACAGTAGTGTTGTTATTTCTTGCACTTGCTGTTGGCATTTCTGCTTCAAACTATTCACATCGCACATTTTGATGTCGACCAAACAAGATTAGAATGTGTACTTCACACGCAAGTTAAAATACCTATTTTGTACATTTATGTCGCATTCAATAACAAACGCATCGCATTTGTCGATTTTTCATTACAAGAAAGCGATTCATTATCGGGTTTAACTGGTTCGATTAACGTAATGTTGGATTGATATATTTATCTATAATCTTGATTTTGATGTACTGCGTATCAGTCTAATAACGAAAATAAGCTAAAACTGCGCTTTTTGTACAATTCAATCAATTGTCTTCAACAGCAAATCGAGATATTTAACGAACAATATCGAATTGGCCGCCAGTGTGCACATATTGCAAACAGTTAAAAATGAATCAACAAAGAAACTTCTTATCGATTACCACTTGCTGATTATCGTTTTGCAAAAACAAAAGAGACGTGAAAAAAAAGAACAACAAAAACACGAACAATCGCAAAAAGTGCGTAGGTAATATAATTAAAACAAATCAAATTTACCGTGCATGTCGTGCCCATGTCTGGGGCTGGCCAAATAATATGGATGATGTGCCCGTTAAAATAATCGAACGCTATAAGCCACCGCCACTCGTATACCAATTGCCACAGACTATTGCAAACCGTTTGGCACAATACAGCAGCGCCAGCAGCAGCAGCTACTATGACCAGGATCAGGCATATCAATATGACTTTCAGCTGGAGCGTAGTGTGCTCAGCAAGTGCCAGCAGTGGCGCCGCATGCGTCACCAGCAGCACCAGGCACGTCAAGGGCGCCAGGAGCAGCGCAAACAGGCTCGACAACGTGCACTGGAGGCAAAGCAGAAGGAAATGCTTGGCGCCGTTGAATATCCCAATGCAGCGGACTTGTCCTCCGACAGCGACGATGATGATGATGCTGATGCTGATGAGGTGGCCGTCGAGTCGCCAGAAACAACAAAAACAACAGCAGCAATAGGCCCAGAAACAACAACAGCAACGTCAATTAACGCCGCTGAGTCACGTGGAAAACTCGAACCAAAGTCAATAAACTCGGGCAATTTTCATAATATACTACAGCCGACCATATTAAGCGGTGCTGCTGCAACACCAGTGGTTAGTAATCATAAACGAAACAGCTCCTTAAATTATGCGGATTTCGAATACAATATGAATTCGACGCCTTTCGATAATATTGAGCTGAAAACGATCAACGATCTGGATATTCTAGCGCAGGTGTTGCACCAGACGCAATTAACGCAGCAAACGCCACAAGCAGACGACGAGGTCGAGCGGAAAGAAGAGGAGGTTGAAAAGGAGCAAGAACAGGAGCAGTCACAGCCAGAGCAGCAACAGCAACTGGAGCTGACTGTGACGACGCTGGCGGAAACCAAAGCGACGCTGGATAGCGTCAATTTTCATGTACACTGTGATGATGCCCAAGACATTCCAGCCATGTACCCAACACATATATATAACAACATGCCACAGCAGCAGCAGCAGCCGCAACAACAGCAACACATCTATCCACACATGGTCTACAATCAGCAATATTATCCTCAGCAGCAGCAGCTCTACCATAATCACAACTACTTACAATATGGCTATGTCAATGGTTATGGCACGCCCACCCAACTATTGCCGTCACCGCCACCGCCCCATTCCAGCAACAACAGTTTACTCCACACTAATGTTCAAGAAGGGGATACTAAGTCGAGGAGCGTGCCGGATATTCTACGTGAACTGAAAACAGAGCTGCAGCAGGCGGAGAAACGTCGTGCCCGCCTTCACAGCCACAATGAGAACGAACAACAGACACTGGCATTGACACTGCCACAGCAAGAGTCCGAAACACAGACGGGGGCCAACTCCAACCCATTCCTGGAGCTTGATGTGCCTGCACAGAAACTAGCGCAGCGCATCAGCAGCATGGGATTTCCGCTGGAGCGCGTCGTCAAGGTGGTCACCCTATGTGGCATTGACGATAAGAAGGTGAGTCACTCCGAGGTAGGCCGATAGCAAAATACAGTGGTAGCTCGCTAGCGAGAACTTTCCAGATTTGAATCGGAGTAAGCTCTGGAAGCGAAGCGTCCACTGTAATTTGAACTTTATCGTGATCTAACAACTAAGTTGCTACTATTGATTTTTCTTTTCTGTATATATATATATCTCCCAATATGGATATTAGATAATCGAGCACCTCATTCCTCTCGGTGAGCTGATAGATCTCGGATTTGATGAAACGAAAATCTCGGCGGCGCTTATGAAATTTGATAACAATAAGGATAGAGCGCTAGACTATTTAATTAAGTAGTTCAATTTTGTATTATACGTGGTCGCCTTGGCGCTTCAAGCCAATACACGCACTCCTCTCGTTATGTAAACGAACGTAATATTTTTATTTCGGATTTGTATGAATACTTGGAGATATTTGAGATTGCATATATATATATGGCTGAATACGCAACTATTAAAACATAATGCTAAATCGCTTAAGTGTACATAAGTATATATATATATATATATACGTGTATGAATATATATATATATATATGCATATATTTATATAATAGCTGGCATCACCAGCAGCAGAATAAATACAATCGCTAAGTGCTAAACCGTTTCAAGCCGTTCAAATCATGCCCATTAGCAGGTTAATGGCGTGCTCCACATTGCCATCGGCCAACGTCAAGTAGTTAACATTTTGGGTATGATTAATAAAGCCCATGGCAGCCATTGTGCGCAGCTGTTCGGTGAAGCGATGTCGGCGATAGCGGCGGGGCAGCACATCGCTATCATCGCCAGCAACACCATCTTCATCATCGTCGTGCTCATCGACAACAGCATCTCTGGACACTGTATCCAAAGCTGACTCGATGTCCATGCTTTCGACAGCTGATGCTGATGATGATGGCGGCGGTGCCTGCTGCTGTAACGATTGTAAAGCACGCGCCACCTCATTGCGCAATAGCTCCGAGGAGATTGTAGGTGCAGCTACTGCAGCAGCAGCACCAGGTCCAGTGACACTAGTTGTAGCTGCAGTGCTGCTGCGTGGTCGCTCATCGCCGAGTGCCTCGCCCCCTTGGCGCTCCGCTATGTTCGACAGCGAGTTGACAGAGCTCATGTCAACACGCGCCAATGCAATAGCCAGCTGCTGGCGACTGATCTGGCGTATGTTGGCCATCTCATCGCGACGATTGGCAGCCAAGTTGGCGGCTGCAGTGCTGCTGCTACCACCACTGCTGCTGCTGCCGGCGCCCAAGGAGTTCTCCTCCTCCGACGAGGTCGTCGACTCTGAGGCAGCCTGTTCCTGAACTGTAAATGGGCGAGAGACAGAGAGAGTGGGCACAAATATTTGGAAACAGCAGAAGCAGCAGCACGAAACACTTACATTGCGTGGCGGAACTATTGCGCGCCAATTCCTTGCGTATGGTCTCGACAATAAACGAAGACGCATCGCATATCAATGGGTAATCGCGCACCAGATTCTGCACCACTTCCGGCTCGTGAAGCATATTGAATAGCACCGAGTCGCGTATTAGAGCCTGTGCGCCCAAATTGCGACGAAACTCTGGATATTCGGCTAGTATTTTTTGCAATATATTAAAACGGGACGTGACGCTAATTTGCAAATGCGACGTTAGGGAAAATAGCTCCTGTATATGCTTGGTATCAATGTCGCTGGCAGCAGGCGGCTCGTATGGCGTATACGATTTTATTTTGCGAAAACAATGGACAATCGCATTCGGTTTCATTGTGCTAGACAGCTTGGATTCGTCGTTGAGCACCTTGCCCAGGTAGCATATATCTGTATGATTGAGCGCACAATGAGTTGGCATTATTAGCAATACGAATGTATGTACATGTATGTATTGTGCGTATGTATGTATAGATTCAACTCACCAAGTTCGGTAGCATCGAACTGCAGCTGCAGCTGCTGCGAGATGATCTTTTTCAAGTACGCAACATTTTGTTCCATATCAATGTTGTGCACGGGATAAAAGTCGCTCAGTTTGTTTTTAACATGAACGCCAGCATATACAGTGTTTGATGTCATGTTTGTATGTTTTCTATTTTTGTGAATGCTTTGTTATTGAATTATTTTTCAACTGCGTCTCGTTGTCTCGAAAACAAAGTGCGTAGCGATAACGATTAACGATAGCCAAATAATTTTATGGCAGTGTGACCCCACTGAATTAACTATGACACGAAACAAATTCGTTTTCAAATCATTTTTTGAATTTTTTTTTGTCAAAATTGTGTTTTGTTTTTGTATTTTCTCTTTGTGTTTTAGAATGGATATTGAAAGTAGAGGAACCCAAACGACAAAATCGTATTTAAAAAAACAGGAAATCAGCACGCTACAAAAAGAAGCAGTAAATCGACTGACTAAACGCGAGTACGACAAAGAGCAAAATATCGTCACTATTCACAGTTGTGAATTTGAAATTTTTGGTATAGTGCAGGGTAAGGTGCACATATTCAAAATATAGCATTGCAAAGTAACTGATATTCTTTTATAGACGTTTCGTTTCGACGTGTAAGGACTACAGATGGCTTATTTAAAATATAATTTTAAGTTGTGTTGATATTTTTTAGTATACTCTGCGCCGGGCTCAAAAACTGGGTATTCGTGGCTGGTGCAAGAACACACAAAATGGTACAGTTAAGGGAGTAATTCAGGGACATCCTAGCAACTTTGAGGCTATGTATGACATTGGAAAAAAAAAACATATATATGTATATAGCTTAAATTATGAGTTGATTTTGCAGGCGCATTTGGTTAAAGTATACTGGCAGTCCCACGAGCCGCATCGACAAGTGCGTTTTTGGTCAAATCGAAGAATTGAATGATTTTACCTACGCAGACTTTACCATAGTTAAAACTATCATTGCCTGATACAGATGTTGCATAAATAAAGCCGGTTTATAATACAAACATTTGTACCATCTGCTGTGCGGTGTGACCGTGTCATAATGTGGGCCATATACTAATTCTGGGGGGTGACACTGTTTCGTTAAAGTGCAACGCTGCGCGGTACACAATCAAGTAAAACAAACGGCATTGCAGTGGAAATCGTTTCGCTGACTGTGACCTGTGGCAAGCAATAGAAACAATTATTATAATTCCATATATTGGCCACACACATACCAGAAAAAGACGGTCACTTATGAAGTGTTCACTCAAGCATTAAGATCCGCACATGTCCCAGCTGGATTCCACTTTCAACACGCGCAAGACTTTCACTTTTTGTGTAAAGAGACGATAAAAAAAAATAAAATAAAACAACAACAATTACCAAAACGACACAACGATTCCCGAAGAGAGCAGCGCACATATGTAGGAAGAAAATGAAAAGCCGAACGGACAGACATAGATATTGTTTGTTAAAAATAGTACATAATTGCTTATAAACAAATTGGCATCTACTCAGACAAATGCAACAGACCAGCGATAACAACAATAACAAAACCAGCGAATGGCTCTTTGACTGAGTGATTGGGCGTGTGTGCGTCTGTATGTGTGTGGTTGAGCAAAGGGAAAATAAATTAACCAAAAAACAACAAAAAAAATAGAAGAAAAAAATACAACTGTCTACTGTCCATTTGTCGCAGTGTCCGTGTCTGTGTATGTGTGCGTACGTGGAGCATAAATTTGGGTCAATTTGAAATTGTAAGTGAAAACGAAAACGGCGCTGCAATTGCGCGCTAAAAGATCAAACCAGCAAAATGGACAACAGAACACAAACGACACAACAACAACAACAGCAGCAACAACAACAGACGTCTCGCAGTTCACCTCAAATTGTTAATCTAGGCGGACCAAATGCCACCAGCTCCACAGAGGCCAATGCTCCCCCAACAACTGATAGCAGCAGTGCCGTCAGCGCCAGCGGCAGCGGTAGCAGCAGCAGTAACAGCAACAGTAAACGAAACAGCGGAAAGAACAAGAACAACAATGGCCATCAACGGAGCCATAGCATAACGAATGCAGCGGCCACATCCTTTGTCAATATGTTCGATGTTTTCACCGCACGTGTCTCGACAGCGGGAAGCATTGCCATCAATAGCAGCAGCATTAGCAACGCCATGGAACGCAGTTACAGCGCTGCCAGCACGCCCAGCTCAACTCATTCGGGGATTGGTGGCATCGGTGCCGGATCGATAGCTAGTCTGACGAGCATGGGCTCGCTGGGTACGACAGCTAATGCATTTTACTCCTCAATTGGCAGTGCGCTCAATTCGATAACGTCACCGATTACGGCCGCTGCAGCGGCGGCAACGGCAACCACCACGGAGGCAGTGGTGGCTGCTGCATCGGCGATAACGAATCATTTGAGTTCACCCACCAGCGGCACACCGCCCCATGGTCTGGGTCTGAACGATGAGGACTGCGACGACAACGACGAGGAGGATGAGGATGATGCTGTTGATAACGATGGGCATATTGCAGCGCCCACGCCCAGCAAATCGTGGTCGGAGATCAAAGGTTTCGTCCAGGAGATACGCAAAGACTTGTCCAATCTGTCGACCATGGTGCCAACGAATGTGCAATTCCGACATCTCTCCGATGGCCGGGCACGTTGCTATTTTCTCAGCACACCACCGCAGACCTGGGAGCCAACGCTGCTCTTTACGGACATCAATCTGCGACAGCATGACGATCAACAGCTGCGACTGCAAAAGATTGGCGGTGTCGGCGGCGGTGGTGGTGGTGGCATCGACCTTGAATCCGCCAATGTCGGCAGTCCCAATAGCGGCGGTGGCGCCTCATCGCCAACAATTAACCTGCCCACATTTCATTTTGGTGTCCAACCCAAGTCCAGGTGAGTGATGTGCACAAATTAATATTCATTAAGTCGATTAGCGATGGGCATGAGAACAATTTCAAAAACACATCACGCCCAAACACGAGCTGGATTCACGAATATAAAGTGTGTCTAAGTTGATAAAATGTTCACAATAGCATATTATATGCTAGTCATGTCCGTCTTCTGTATCACTCCAATTGAAATTTTGCTTATAGTCTACAAGTTGGTATCATATAGTTATATAGCAAGTTTATCTAACACACAAAGGTTGTATTCTAGGGCAGCAGCAGCAGTAATATCTGCGTCGTAAAACTTTAAATGTTACATTTCCCAAAAATGCATTTCATGCATCCAATACAGTATTTATGGAATCCCCTTAGCAGTGGCAGAGCAATTTCAACTTTTAATTGTACTGTGATTCAATTTTGTTTTGTTTATTTCTATGGAACAGGCTTGCGTGGCAACCACTGCTGCAACAACCCATACCCAGCAGTCATGTGGGCAGCGGCGTCGGCGGCAGCAGCGGTAGCGCATGTCCTTATGCCCGAGAGTTTCAGTTGCTGCAGGAGAGAAAGCGTCTGCCCACATGGGGCATTACATCCTATGAGCTGCACAAACCCAGCGGCAAGCTGGTATTCCCCTGCTTCAACGATCTGTATCAGTGTCTGGACACGGGTTACAATGTATGCAACAACAACTAAATCTACTCAATTGAATTACAATTTGAACGAGTTTTGTGTGTTTGTTTTACAGTCTGGTCTGCTGTTTCCCACGCAGCTGCGCACATGCCCGGAGTGGAGCGCACTGGATCCGCAAATCTGTCCACAGAACTCGGATCTGATAGCGTACATCAGTGACTGTGATATCTGGGTAACGCACACGCTCAGCGGCAATGAGAAACGATTAACGTATACGCGGAGCGGTCGTCGCACCTATGCGGATGATGCACTCAGCGCCGGTGTGCCATCGTATGTGATGCAGGAGGAGTTCAGTCGGTATCAGGGCTATTGGTGGCAGCCTCATTCCGATGACGGCATCTTTCGCATTGTCTACGAGGAGGTGGACGAAACGGATGTCTCCCTCTACACGTTCCCCTCATCGACGGCTGTGCCGGGGGAGGTGGATGAGTATCGTTTCCCACGCAGTGGCACACCCAATGCCAAATCCAAGCTGAAGCTGGTACAATTTGTGCTCAACGAAGCCCTGCAAATAAGCGAGGTTAGCATCAAGGACTTACCATACTCCATGCTAGCAGTATTTCCCTGGTTGGAGTACATAGTGCGCGTGGGCTGGACCCCCGATGCCAAGTAGTAAGCCACACAACTCAAATCAAATCATGCCAAATTCCCACACTTAAGAGGATGATCTGTTCGTTTTTAGCGTTTGGCTGCAGGGTCTGGATCGCAAGCAACAGCGTTTGGATGTTATGCTCATACCGCTGGACAACTTTTGCGAGTCGTATAGCAGTCAAGTGTCAACGCCAACGGATTCGATTGGGGATCACAGTTGGCGGAGTCCATACAATCGCACAATATCGCCGCTGCAAGTCATCTATACGGAGCAATCGGAAAGTTGGATAAATGTTCATGATATGCTATACTTTTTGGAGATGAGCGATATGAACGACATGAGCGTCACCTATGTCTGGGCCTCCGAGGAGACGGGCTTCAGGCATTTGTATCTAGTGACGTCCAGTTTGCTCTTGAACCATGTCAATGGCTGTCAAACGGACGCAACTGCAGCAGCTGCCGCTGTCCAACAACATCCCAGCTTTGTGGAAGCGGCCGCGCTGCAGCCGCGCATTGTCAATAAAGTGGCGCTGACAAGTGGCGAATGGGAGGTGCTAGCCCGCAATCTCTGGGTGGATAAAGCCAATCAGTTGGTATACTTTGTCGGACTGCGCGATACGCCATTGGAGAAGCATCTGTATGTGGTTAGTCTGCGGCGACCAGAGCACATACGCTTGCTAACTGAACCCGGGTATTCCTATCTGGTGGAGTTCGATGATGTAAGTATTAACAACAAATAATAGTTATCTAAGATTAATAGCCCTGGCAACAGTTGCGATGGGACCGGTTTATAGGTGTAATATATTAAGAATCTAAAGTTTATAAGTTCTTACTCAAGCTTAAGAAGTAGAAGGGGGCAACTCGTTATTGGAAGGGGGCAACTCGTTTACATGCCATTTTCACACCACGTTCACAAACATTACTCAATTGCAGCAATGTCAACTGATGCTGCTCGTCTATTGCAATATCCAACGCTTGCCCAGCTGTAAGGTGATGCGTGTGGCACAAACATGCCAGAATGGCGGCGTCAATGGCATACAGATCTCGCTGGTTGGTTTTCTGCACGAGGGTGGCAAACCGGAGCCGCAATACTGTCCGCAAATCTTTCGACCTCAGTTGCCGTCTGGCGATATAGTCTACGCCATGGTATTTAAACCGCACAATTTTCAACTGGGCGTCAAGTATCCAACGGTGCTGAATGTATACGGCGGTCCCGAGGTGCAAACTGTGAATAATACTTTTAAGGTAAGATCGCTCAGTTAAACTATACTCAGCAAATATTCTGTTATACTAATTGCTACAATTGATTCAACAACAGGGCAAACATCAGCTACGAATGCACATGCTAGCGGCTCAGGGCTATTGTGTGATCTGTATTGATTCGCGTGGCTCCCGGCATCGAGGCATACGCTTCGAGAGTCACATACGCGGTCGCATGGGTCAAGTGGAGCTCACTGATCAGGTGGATTCGCTACGCATTCTGTCCGATCAGCTGGGCTACATTGACATGGAGCGTGTAGCCATACATGGCTGGTCCTATGGTGAGTACTTGCTCTGAACTATAAGTAAAAGTTGCATTCTAATTGTTATATATTTTTGCAGGTGGCTATTTGAGCTTGATGGGTTTGGTGCAGTATCCGGAAATATTTAAAGTGGCCATTGCTGGTGCCCCGGTCACTAATTGGGAGTTTTATGACACTGGCTACACGGAACGTTACATGGATCTGCCGCAGTTTAATGAGGCTGGCTACACGGCTGGTTCGGTGCTCAACTATGTGCATGCGTTTCCTGAAGAGTGAGTAACTGAAATACCATTTAGATATTAACTGTTTTAATATGATATTTCCTAGGGATAATCGATTACTGCTCATCCATGGTCTCATCGATGAGAATGTGCACTTTTATCACACCTCACGACTGATCAGCGCTTTGAATAAGGCGAATAAACCATATGCGCTGCATCTGTTCCCGGAGGAGCGTCATTCGTTGCGCAATTTAGAATCGAATAAGAACTACGAAACGAAATTATTATCATTCTTGCAAAATTTATGAGATTCGTAAACAGTTCACACGCAAATTAATCTAATTACATACTATATTGTAAGTGTTGTTTTTTTAAAGTCGGAATCCATTTAAATATCAATCTAAATATACAAAAACATGTCTGCAATATTTCAACGTACTTGACGCTAAGGAACAACAAGTTTTGCCCTGCCTCTGTTAAATGCTGCTCTACTCACTGTAATTATTTTTAATAATCTATATCTACATTTACTTTTATTTTTTATTACATTATACACACACACACACACACACACACACATCATACTCTTAATTAACTTTTAATTGTTTTATTTTGCACATGTGTATATTTTTCTTTTAAAAACTCAGTCGTAAGTTTCTTGTTTTTGTTTATATCTGTCCATATACCCAAAATGTGTCCTATCCCTCACAAAACCACCCAAAACTTGTCATGCTGATCGTGCAAGCCATCAATTAATCATAGTTTCTATTAAACATACATATATATATATATAGAATTGTATATCTCCTAATAATCGATAAACAACCTGCAATATATGTTTATATAAATGAGTTAAAAAGATTGAAACAAATTAAAAAAAAAAACGAAATCAAGAAAAAAATAAAATTTTAAAAATAACCCTAAAGCGTTGGCTGGAACAAATACTTGCAAAATTATGATTATACTATTTTTAATCAATAATTTTACAAAATAAAATAAATTGCTACATTTTGTTTAACAAACGGAAGCAGCCTTTGTCGGAAAAACAACGACAAATTTTCCAGTGTCGAATACACTGTGTGACCAGATTAATATTAATTTGAAAGTGTCCGACTTCTACATACTCTTTCTGACAAGGAAATATAAAAGACAATTGGATTTATGTTTTGTTAAATTAAAATAGTGGTTTATTGTAAAATTTGCTGCTACTTATGAATAGTTTAACAATAGGCTTATTAATGATTAATGACTTTGGCATATGGTTAATTGTGCACTTTAACCAAAAGTAGTCAGTCTGGGAACATAAGGATAGCTTAATTATTACAGAGCTAGGAAGTAATTTAATCAACTTCTTCCACAGTGGGTCCTTTGTAGCCACCAAAGCCGCCCGCCTGCTGACCACAGTTGGAGTTGCCCTGCGCCTGTCCCTGTCCCTGTCCCTGTGCTTGCTGGTGCATCTTGGTCATGATGGGGGAGCAGTGCTGGGTGAGTTCCTTCAGTTTGTGTTCGAACTCCTCCTTGTCGGCGGTGGTGTTGGCGTCCAGCCACTTGACAGTCTCGTCGCACTTCTCCAGTACCGAGGATTTGTCGCTGTCGCTGAGCTTGTCAGCATTGGCCTGCTCCACGGCCTGTTTCACACCGAAGACGTAGCTCTCTAGGCTGTTGCGGGCCGAAATGCGCTGGCGCTGCTGCTCATCCTCGTCGGCGTAGCGCTCGGCCTCGTTAACCATGCGGTCGATGTCTGCCTGCGAGAGGCGGCCCTTGTCGTTTTTGATCGTAATGTTCTTCGCCTTGCCGGTGCTCATCTCCTTAGCCGTCACGTTCAGTATGCCATTGGCGTCCATGTCGAAGGTGACCTCGATCTGGGGCACGCCGCGCGGTGCTGGCGGTATGCCCGACAAATCGAAGGTTCCCAGCGCGTTGTTGTCCTTCGTAAGGGCGCGCTCCCCCTCGAACACCTGAATGGCGACGCCCGGCTGGTTGTCCGCGTACGTCGAGAAGGTCTTCGTCTGCTTGCACGGGATGCGGCAGTTGCGCTCAATCAGCTTGGTCATCACGCCGCCGGCTGTTTCGATGCCCAGGGAAAGGGGCGCAACATCTACTAGAAGCACGTCCTGGATCTTGCCGCTCTGGTCGCCACTGAGTATGGCTGCTTGGACGGCGGCACCGTAGGCCACCGCCTCGTCGGGATTGATGGAAAGGTTGAGGCTCTTGCCGCCGAAGAACTGCTGCAGCAGGTTCTGCACCTTGGGAATCCGTGTCGAGCCGCCGACCAGCACTATGTCATGGATCTGCTGCTTGTCCATCTTTGCATCGATGAGCGCCTTCTCCACTGGAGCCAGCGTGTTGCGGAACAGATCACCGCACAGCTCCTCGAACCTGGCCCGGCTCACCTTCGTGTAGAAGTCATGACCCTCGAACAGCGCGTCCACCTCAATGGTTGCCTCTGTGCTCGACGAGAGCGTCCGCTTCGCTCGCTCCGCTGCAGTGCGTAGGCGGCGCAGGGCGCGAGGATTGCTGCGCAGATCCTTCTTGAACTTGCGCTTGAACTCCTCCGCCAAATGGGTGACCAATCGGTTGTCAAAGTCCTCGCCGCCCAAATGTGTGTCTCCAGCCGTTGCCCGCACCTCAAACAACGATCCCTCATCGATGGTTAGTATGGAGACATCAAAGGTGCCGCCGCCCAGATCGAAGATCAGCACATTGCGTTCCCCTTTGAGATTCTTATCCAGACCATAGGCCAGTGCCGCCGCTGTCGGCTCGTTGATGATCCTCAGCACGTTGAGGCCGGCTATGTGGCCGGCGTCTTTGGTCGCCTGGCGTTGTGAGTCATTAAAATAGGCTGGCACAGTGATGACAGCGTCTGTGATGCTCTGGCCCAAGTATGCCTCAGCCGTCTCCTTCATTTTCACCAACACCATCGAGCTGATCTCCTCGGGGGCAAAGCGTTTCTGTTCGCCCTTGAACTCGACGCCAATCTTTGGCTTGCCTCCATCACTGACCACCTTGAAAGGCCAGTGCTTTATGTCCTCCGCTATCTTTGGATCGTCGTACTTGCGACCAATCAAACGCTTCGCGTCGAATACTGTGTTCTTGGGGTTCATCGCCACCTGGTTCTTTGCGGCGTCACCAATCAGACGCTCCGAATCTGTGAATGCCACATAGCTGGGCGTCGTCCTATTGCCCTGATCGTTGGCAATAATTTCCACCTTGCCATGCTGATAGACGCCCACGCAGGAGAACGTGGTGCCCAGATCGATACCAATAGCAGGCATTCTGTTTGTTCTTCTTCTTGTTGGCTTGTTGCTGTTGTTTGAGAATTTGAAGATGAATTGCTCTTCTTTGTTGTTTTTCTTTGCTCTCTGATTAACAGTTAAGCACTTTTTCAATATTTGCAACTTTAAATTAATTACTTTTCACTTTACTTTAGTTTAGTTTTAAAATATTTAAATTCTTGTCTTGCTTTGTACTTTTAGCTTTTTCAGCTTGTTTTGCTTTTTTGGCTGTTGCTTGTTTGTGATGTTATCACTTCGATTGCTTGAATTGAATTGAGCCAAAGAGAAAATGCCGGCCGTATTTATACTCGAGCGGTCTCTTTCCGAAATTTCTAGATGCTCTCTTCTCGAAACGAGTCGAACGTCGCGAACCTTCCAACCGATTTCGAATGAGCGGGAGAGAGATAGCAGGCAGATGGTGTTTGACTGTCGACTGTCGACTGAGAGAGAAACCAAATGGAAATGCTTCGAGTTTTCTCGAAGGTCTGCTTTATTTTGGTTTTTGTGTAAAGAGCGAGAGCGACTGAGACTAACAGTTGTTTGTGTAGCTTGACCCACCCCAACAATTCTAGAAAGTTCACATCAAACGACCTTAAGTCTGCAGAAAAAGTCCATCTGTATGTATATATGTATGTAGTTTATTATTAAACGTTTACTATTATTAAACATTTTTGCTGACTTGTTGTCTATTTTTGGATTCCTAGATGAGTATATTCATTAACTTGTTGCGTGCACGTGAATGCTAATCTCGATGTTACCTTCTAAAGATTATTATTGTGCTTGTTACACGACTGAGTTCTGTGAACTTATGTACTTCAATAAAAGTATATGTATGTTTGTACACTTGTATTTAGATTATTCTCATTTCAATACAAATTAATATCCACAACGGACTTTTTCTGTCACATTTAAAGTTAGTAAATAAATATATAATCTTAAGTTATTCTGATAATATAACACAATTTAGTTGTTACTACACATTTTAGTTATTACTTACTGTTCGACGCATATCAATTAACGAAAGTAGCTGAGTAGCGTTTGATGAACTAGCTGAAGGCAACTGAAAAATATACGATAATGTCTCTGTAAATATCAATGCTGGCTTGTCATACCGAGTCTTTAATTTTTCTAAGGCCTTAGCATAGTTTTCATTGGTGACTGGAAATTCCTATTTTCGCCAAGTTAGAACATCGTTTTTTAGCCATTTCAAACCAAATACTTCAATTTATTGAGCAGTTATGTAAGAGGTCAGAGCTTGCATTTATTTAAGTACTGACACAAATTTAGGATAGGTTTTCCAATCAGGTTTGTGATGAGTCCAAGTTTGTGTGTATATATTTCATGTATTCATATATGTGACTTAGAGCTAATTCACCAGTGTGTAAATATTTATTACTGACACTGTAGATAGTTCCCAAATTTTTCGAAGCCTATGGTTTTCTAAATATAATTTCAATATTTTGGTGATAAATCTTGACTCGAATCTCGTCCCTTTCTTTCAAGCTTTTTATGAAATATCCAGCGAAACTGACAACAAATCGAAACGAAATGCAATTAGAAGTTTGATCTCTAAAAATGTCATCCGATGCAACCAAAAAGAAGCGCCGATTACTGAATTATTTACTACTTACAAGTCACAAGCAGAAAGTGTGCGATTAATTTTTGGTCTGTAATTTAGGCTCTTTTGTATTTTGCTTCGCAGTCTTTTCGTGCAAGGACTTGCACTTGGGATTTTGTGATTGTGCCACAAAACTGTTCTTACGAGCTGCAATAAACAAACTATTTGATTGTTATGAAAATAAGGAAATATAACAGCTGCTAAACTCGAATATGATGTGTGTATTAGTTGAGATAAGTTCACAGAACTCAGTCGTGTAACAAGCACAATAATAATCTTTAGAAGGTAACATCGAGATTAGCATTCACGTGCACGCAACAAGTTAATGAATATACTCATCTAGGAATCCAAAAATAGACAACAAGTCAGCAAAAATGTTTAATAATAGTAAACGTTTAATAATAAACTACATACATATATACATACAGATGGACTTTTTCTGCAGACTTAAGGTCGTTTGATGTGAACTTTCTAGAATTGTTGGGGTGGGTCAAGCTACACAAACAACTGTTAGTCTCAGTCGCTCTCGCTCTTTACACAAAAACCAAAATAAAGCAGACCTTCGAGAAAACTCGAAGCATTTCCATTTGGTTTCTCTCTCAGTCGACAGTCGACAGTCAAACACCATCTGCCTGCTATCTCTCTCCCGCTCATTCGAAATCGGTTGGAAGGTTCGCGACGTTCGACTCGTTTCGAGAAGAGAGCATCTAGAAATTTCGGAAAGAGACCGCTCGAGTATAAATACGGCCGGCATTTTCTCTTTGGCTCAATTCAATTCAAGCAATCGAAGTGATAACATCACAAACAAGCAACAGCCAAAAAAGCAAAACAAGCTGAAAAAGCTAAAAGTACAAAGCAAGACAAGAATTTAAATATTTTAAAACTAAACTAAAGTAAAGTGAAAAGTAATTAATTTAAAGTTGCAAATATTGAAAAAGTGCTTAACTGTTAATCAGAGAGCAAAGAAAAACAACAAAGAAGAGCAATTCATCTTCAAATTCTCAAACAACAGCAACAAGCCAACAAGAAGAAGAACAAACAGAATGCCTGCTATTGGTATCGATCTGGGCACCACGTTCTCCTGCGTGGGCGTCTATCAGCATGGCAAGGTGGAAATTATTGCCAACGATCAGGGCAATAGGACGACGCCCAGCTATGTGGCATTCACAGATTCGGAGCGTCTGATTGGTGACGCCGCAAAGAACCAGGTGGCGATGAACCCCAAGAACACAGTATTCGACGCGAAGCGTTTGATTGGTCGCAAGTACGACGATCCAAAGATAGCGGAGGACATAAAGCACTGGCCTTTCAAGGTGGTCAGTGATGGAGGCAAGCCAAAGATTGGCGTCGAGTTCAAGGGCGAACAGAAACGCTTTGCCCCCGAGGAGATCAGCTCGATGGTGTTGGTGAAAATGAAGGAGACGGCTGAGGCATACTTGGGCCAGAGCATCACAGACGCTGTCATCACTGTGCCAGCCTATTTTAATGACTCACAACGCCAGGCGACCAAAGACGCCGGCCACATAGCCGGCCTCAACGTGCTGAGGATCATCAACGAGCCGACAGCGGCGGCACTGGCCTATGGTCTGGATAAGAATCTCAAAGGGGAACGCAATGTGCTGATCTTCGATCTGGGCGGCGGCACCTTTGATGTCTCCATACTAACCATCGATGAGGGATCGTTGTTTGAGGTGCGGGCAACGGCTGGAGACACACATTTGGGCGGCGAGGACTTTGACAACCGATTGGTCACCCATTTGGCGGAGGAGTTCAAGCGCAAGTTCAAGAAGGATCTGCGCAGCAATCCTCGCGCCCTGCGCCGCCTACGCACTGCAGCGGAGCGAGCGAAGCGGACGCTCTCGTCGAGCACAGAGGCAACCATTGAGGTGGACGCGCTGTTCGAGGGTCATGACTTCTACACGAAGGTGAGCCGGGCCAGGTTCGAGGAGCTGTGCGGTGATCTGTTCCGCAACACGCTGGCTCCAGTGGAGAAGGCGCTCATCGATGCAAAGATGGACAAGCAGCAGATCCATGACATAGTGCTGGTCGGCGGCTCGACACGGATTCCCAAGGTGCAGAACCTGCTGCAGCAGTTCTTCGGCGGCAAGAGCCTCAACCTTTCTATCAATCCTGATGAGGCGGTGGCCTACGGTGCCGCCGTCCAAGCAGCCATACTCAGTGGCGACCAGAGCGGCAAGATCCAGGACGTGCTTCTAGTAGATGTTGCGCCCCTTTCCCTGGGCATCGAAACAGCCGGCGGCGTGATGACCAAGCTGATTGAGCGCAACTGCCGCATCCCGTGCAAGCAGACGAAGACCTTCTCGACGTACGCGGACAACCAGCCGGGCGTCGCCATTCAGGTGTTCGAGGGGGAGCGCGCCCTTACGAAGGACAACAACGCGCTGGGAACCTTCGATTTGTCGGGCATACCGCCAGCACCGCGCGGCGTGCCCCAGATCGAGGTCACCTTCGACATGGACGCCAATGGCATACTGAACGTGACGGCTAAGGAGATGAGCACCGGCAAGGCGAAGAACATTACGATCAAAAACGACAAGGGCCGCCTCTCGCAGGCAGACATCGACCGCATGGTTAACGAGGCCGAGCGCTACGCCGACGAGGATGAGCAGCAGCGCCAGCGCATTTCGGCCCGCAACAGCCTAGAGAGCTACGTCTTCGGTGTGAAACAGGCCGTGGAGCAGGCCACTGCTGACAAGCTCAGCGACAGCGACAAATCCTCGATGCTGGAGAAGTGCGACGAGACTGTCAAGTGGCTGGACGCCAACACCACCGCCGACAAGGAGGAGTTCGAACACAAACTGAAGGAACTCACCCAGCACTGCTCCCCCATCATGACCAAGATGCACCAGCAAGCACAGGGACAGGGACAGGGACAGGGACAGGCGCAGGGCAACTCCAACTGTGGTCAGCAGGCAGGCGGCTTTGGTGGCTACAAAGGACCCACTGTGGAAGAAGTTGATTAAATTACTTCCTAGCTCTGTAATAAATAAGCTATCCTTATGTTCCCAGACTGACTACTTTTGGTTAAAGTGCACAATTAACCATATGCCAAAGTCATTAATCATTAATAAGCCTATTGTTAAACTATTCATAAGTAGCAGCAAATTTTACAATAAACCACTATTTTAATTTAACAAAACATAAATCCAATTGTCTTTTATATTTCCTTGTCAGAAAGAGTATGTAGAAGTCGGACACTTTCAAATTAATATTAATCTGGTCACACAGTGTATTCGACACTGGAAAATTTGTCGTTGTTTTTCCGACAAAGGCTGCTTCCGTTTGTTAAACAAAATGTAGCAATTTATTTTATTTTGTAAAATTATTGATTAAAAAAAGTATAATCATAATTTTGCAAGTTTTGTGTGAGAAAAGGATTTTGTGTGTATTCTACAGCCGTTGTTCTTGATTGTGTGTACTTATGTGTGAATATGCAGGAGTTTGTCGCGATCCCATGATTTGAGTTGAGTGAATAAAAAGTTGTACTGCCTTTGCTTTTGTTACTCCTCAGTGCCTGTGCCTGCCACAAGAAATGAGGGCACATTTGGGTGTGCAAAACTTTATAAATTGATGTATTTTATATTTAGTAAATAAAAAAGGGTGCTAAGTTTGGGCGAATATGTGATTATAAT